GAGCTTATTGTTTCCATATACTGATATGCTTGATTTGCGTTTTAGCTTTCTGTATTTCTGCATCACGTTTTGCTGCGTTGTTTACATCTTGTTTGCTATTCCTCTGTATCTAATCCAAGATTTTTGGTCGGTGTGGAATTAGATCTGCTCATCTACTTCCTTAGATGTCTTTTGTAAATATCTTCTTATTTTATCCTCTCTCTTGTAAATATCTCTCTTGTTTGATTGTAATGTGTAAATTTTGGTTGAGATATTCAACTATTTTATTCTATTGTGCTCTGAAGCTTGGTTGATTATTTTTCTGACATTACATAAGTTTTGCTGATCTGATCCGAATCGAGAATAATTTAAGTTGTTGTTTTTGTATAGTTCTAGTCTAATGTGTATGAATGATTACTTATGGAAGAGTGTTTTGTTTTTCCATTTTTATTGTTTGATAAGTAACCGTGGTAATCGTCATTTTGCAGATGCCAAGAGGTTGATAGGTAGGAGAATCAGTGACCCTTCGGTGCAGAGTGATATGAAGTTGTGGCCATTCAAGGTCATTGCTGGCGCCGGTGAAAAACCAATGATTGTCGTTAATTACAAGGGTGAGGAGAAGCAATTTGCCGCCGAGGAAATCTCGTCCATGGTTTTGATCAAGATGCGCGAGATTGCAGAGGCCTACCTTGGGTCAACAATCAAGAACGCAGTTGTCACTGTTCCCGCATACTTCAATGACTCTCAGCGTCAGGCTACCAAGGATGCTGGTGTTATTGCTGGACTAAATGTTATGCGTATTATAAACGAGCCCACCGCTGCAGCTATTGCTTATGGGCTTGACAAGAAAGCTACAAGTTCTGGTGAGAAGAATGTTTTGATATTCGACCTCGGTGGTGGTACTTTTGATGTCTCTCTCCTCACCATTGAGGAGGGTATCTTTGAAGTTAAAGCCACTGCTGGGGACACTCACCTTGGAGGAGAGGATTTCGATAACAGAATGGTGAACCACTTTGTTCAAGAGTTCAAGAGAAAGAACAAGAAGGACATCAGTGGAAACCCAAGAGCCCTCAGGAGGTTGAGAACCGCATGTGAGAGGGCAAAGAGGACGCTCTCTTCCACTGCCCAGACTACAATTGAGATTGATTCTTTGTTTGAGGGTATCGACTTCTACTCAACAATCACCCGTGCTAGGTTTGAGGAACTGAACATGGACCTGTTCAGGAAGTGTATGGAGCCTGTGGAGAAGTGTCTTAGAGATGCTAAGATGGACAAGAGCAGCATTCATGATGTGGTCCTTGTTGGTGGCTCTACCAGAATTCCCAAAGTGCAACAACTTTTGCAGGATTTCTTCAATGGCAAGGACCTCTGCAAAAGCATTAACCCTGATGAGGCCGTTGCCTACGGTGCAGCTGTCCAAGCCGCTATCTTGAGTGGTGAAGGTAATGAGAAGGTTCAGGACTTGTTGCTGCTTGACGTCACTCCACTCTCCTTGGGGTTGGAGACTGCTGGAGGAGTAATGACTGTATTAATTCCTAGGAATACCACCATTCCAACCAAGAAGGAGCAAGTATTCTCCACCTATTCAGATAACCAACCCGGTGTCTTGATTCAAGTCTACGAGGGTGAGAGAACGAGAACAAGGGACAACAACTTGTTGGGCAAGTTCGAGCTCTCAGGAATTCCTCCAGCTCCAAGGGGCGTTCCCCAGATCACTGTTTGCTTTGATATCGATGCCAACGGTATCTTGAACGTCTCTGCCGAGGACAAAACCACCGGACAGAAGAACAAGATTACCATTACTAACGACAAAGGGAGACTGTCGAAGGAGGAAATTGAGAAGATGGTACAGGAAGCAGAGAAGTACAAGGCAGAAGATGAGGAGCACAAGAAGAAGGTTGAAGCCAAGAACGCCTTGGAGAACTATTCCTACAACATGAGGAACACCATTAAGGACGAGAAGATCAGTTCAAAGCTGTCGGCAGATGACAAGAAGAAGATTGAGGATGCAATTGAGCAGGCCATTCAATGGCTAGACTCGAACCAGCTGGCAGAGGCTGACGAATTTGAAGATAAAATGAAGGAGCTGGAGAGCATCTGCAATCCAATCATAGCCAAGATGTACCAAGGTGGAGCTGATGCTGCCGGTGGCATGGATGAAGATGATGCTCGCCCATCTGGTGGCAGTGGCGCTGGCCCCAAAATTGAGGAGGTCGATTAAGTGGCTGGTTATGGTGTGTCGTCTGGGGATGTTGGTGGTTCCTTTTCGGCCCGACTTGGGTTGTTCTGATTATTATTAGACTTTAGCCGCATTAGGTTTTAATTGCTTCCCTTCTTTAGTTCTGTCGATTTGTTATTTTCATCGAACAGTCGGAAAACTTCGATTATTAAGTGAAATACAGGAGCATTTTGTGCGATGTTGTGTTTGCCTCGCTGTATCATTTTGTGCAATTAACATCGAAATTTTTTTGCTAATTTGGGATCTCGGATTTGAATCGCTCTGTAACGCAAGTGCTAAGAGGTTTTATCGTTGTCAGCTGTGACCCGTTGAATGCAAATCTGCTCTTTATTTAATTACGTTTTATATTCAGGTGCTACTTGATAATGAGATGCAAACATGTTTTATTACCACTTAACGGTACGTTAGCCTGGAAAAGGGTGATGGGTTTTATTACCAAGTAGCAAACAAGCTCGAAGCCATAATCCAATCATCAGGAAAGATGATCAATACATTATTATAATTATAGTTAAGATATTTCGAAAGCGGTATTATCTTATGTTTCAAATATCAAATTTACAATTGTCATGTTATTATATTTGTTAAATTTGATTGAGTTCATCTAAATGGCTAAACTTAAAATATTCTCCGAATAACTAAATATTATAGCTAAATATTAGAATATTTGATACTCTTCCGGTCTTAAATATCTTATTAATAAAATGTCTATTAACCGTTGCGTCAAGATAATTTTCGGTCCAAAAAAATATGTCAAGATAAAATTTGTAATTTGTAATAAATATGCTATTTTATTCATTAATCTATCAAAATATTTTATAGCATTTTCTAAATTATTTCAAAAAGCAATAAACAAACAAAGCAAACGATGAAAAAATGACACTGAAAAAGATGGGGGAAAAAGAAAGAAAAGAAAAATTGAATGAATTTCCAGAGGAAAAGAGGCGCAAAGTTTGCAACAAAAGGATTGGAGTAACAGGATTCATGTGTCCATGCGGAGATTTGTTTTGCGGGAAACAGAGATCCCCAGGAGAACATTCATGTGCGGTAGATTATAAGAAGATTGGTGAACTCGTTAAAAAACAGGAAGAAAACCATATTTTTAATTTGATAGCAATGCATTTTTTTTCCTTTAATTAAATTATTTAATTTTATCTTTTTAAACATATTAGCTCTTATAACTTTGTTTTATTAGCATCTTTAGTCTCTGTGCCCATCTACATTAGCAGTAAACAACTATGATTTTAGATAATTGTAAATTTTATAAGTGACATTAGCTATAAGTGATATTGGTTAATCGTAATTTTTGTTTGAATATATCTCTTTTATAAGTAACTTTAAGAATTGTGATTATATTTGATTTTCATTTATTAAAATCACTATTGATTGTATAATTATCAAAAAGACATGAATTTAATAAATATTATTAAATATAGTCATTTGGAGAGAGATTTTTGAAAGAATGCGGAAAGGTAAATTGAAGAAAATTCAGTTGATAAAAATTGATCGGGATTTTTCAAGCCTATAAGCTAATCCTTGGTGCTTATCCTAATAGTGTGGCGAAAGAATGAAATCATGATTTATCAGAATTTTATAAAAATTACCCAAACAAAATAAACATCCATCACAATCGCTTATTTAGATTTAAATGGATTTATTTGAGCTCTCACTGATTATGTGAGAGTTAACGATGTTAAATTGTTAATAGAACAAAATTACAGATTTAATTAAGAGGAAAAAAATATATATAGCCACTAAATTGAAATTAAAAAAAAAAAAGATAGATACCTTCAAAAATGATTTTCCAAAACCCGTTTTGAAAAGTTGATATTTTTTTTCCTCTTTAGCAATCAAGCATGTACAATCAATTCTTTAAGATGTGGTAATCTTGAGTAAAAATGTGTTCTATTTTCTAAATATTATCATTTAATTATAAATTAACATAAAAAAGAAAGAGACATGACCACATATAATTAGAGAATTTGACATAATGGATGTAAGAAACTAGATCTAAATATTTTTCTTATTAATATTTGCAATCAACATATTTTTTCTTTAAAAATATTTTTTTTATGAATGTAAAATTTCTTAAAAATAATAATTGATGTGGTTTTTTACAGTTGAATTTTGTTGAGTTACTATTTACATTCTACACCGAAAGATCTTAATAAAAATATATTTAATTTTTTCCAGAAAATATTTTAGGAGGAAATTTTTATATCTTCAAAGAAATTTATACTTGAATTTAAACATTTAAGGGTTGATTTGAAAAGATATTGACAATTTGCTAGGGTATAAATCAAAATTATATATTCTAGAGCAGTTACACTTCCTCGTGAATTATGAATTGACTCTTACCAACCTAATTAAATTTGATTGTTTTGAAATAGGTGCCAAATAGGTTTTAATCTATAAAACAATATCATATCCTATCCACGCCCATGTTTCTGCGATATTATCTGTGAAATATCAAAAAAAATTTCTACTTATTTTTTTTTATTTTTGATGCCTGGTGAGTTGTATCATAATTTTTGGAGCACGAAACCCATTTATAATAAGAAAGATTTCGCTTGATATATATATATATATATATATATATATTCAAGTTTATTATACTTACCCTGGGAACAAATATTGAATTTTTCTAATATGTGGAAAATTCCAGATTTTTATAAACCAACCACTGCAATGAATACATGGAATAGAAAATAATAAAAAATTAAATAAAAAGATGGAAAATGACCTTATGAATAAAAAATTATCCTCATCACCAAAATCTATTATTTTAGCCCCTTTCACCTCTAGTGCATCCACGAACTCCCCCGTAAGGAGGCGAGGTGGCACTACGAGTCCCTTCTACAGCTTCAACTGGTCTGTGACAGTACAAAACATACACAGCATGATAATTAATATCCCTCAATACTCAGGATTTACAATTCCCTCATGTGGCTTCCATGACTATATCTGATACAAGGGCGTGAAAGAAATTTGACCACAAATGAATATGATTAATGAAAGTGTCCACTTTTGTTTCTTTTGCTGGGATAAAGCCACCCTTGTTCATGTTAGTCCACTGAAGCTTGAAACCTTTTTGATGGTCTCCTCTTCCATTTCAACTAGTTGACGACAAAATGATTCAACATCACTCGCTTCTTCCTTTAACATAAACCTGTATTCTTTCCAATTGTAGTGACCACTGCCATCCTCCAAAACAGGATCAGGAAGCTTTCCAAGCACACTGAATCCCTTGCGGTCCACTGATGTTACGTATGCATCCTTGATAAAATGCCAATGGATTAGTCAATTGGATTCAATACTTCAGTAAGAATACCACAATGGCCGTGACACATCAACAGAAGAGCAGTAAATAGCTTCAGTAAGAAATTAGCCTCAGCTGTAGAGGCACTACTTTTAAATTTGGCAAAATGATTGTTGTCATGTGTGGTTTCATTGATGAACAAGATATGGAAGATGATTGTAGGTTTTAAGGATGTCAAGAGATGATGGATTCAGAACGAACAGTATTCAAGTTTTTAATGTCTAAGGATCATGATGCTAAACCAGAAAGACCAAAAGAAGATAAAAGAAATTCTACAAGACAAGACATGTTCATCATCAAAATGTCTCAGTACAGCAAAATGACGATATAAAATCAATCAAATTTCAAATTCTACACAAATTAATTTGTAACTCACTTATTTTTCTGCCTCTGAAATGCCACTGAATAATTAATTAAATTGAGCATACTTTAGAAATGCAAATGAGAAGCACTGACCAAATTACTATCCAGAAGCGGTCTCAATGTATTATCACACAAGTCCAGACGTATAATCAACAAGCTGGTAATTGACTAATTGTAGCGGTTTACAAGAATGATATCCTAGTTCTGTCCCTAGAAGGTACATGTTCTCATTGTTTATCCACGCCTTTTAAAAAATATGAATACGAACCTGAGCTTCATTAACCTAGTTTTAAGAGGGCTACTCTTTTGGGTTATCATTCTCCAATGGAGGACGTTAGTGCTGAAGTGGACTGTCAGCATCTATAAGGATGCTTCCCAACCAAAAAAAAGCGCAGCATTTTGACAGGGATCCTATGTATTGCCAATGTTTCATTTTCCCAAATTAAAACCCAAAGCCGCATCATCTTTTTTTGGTAGACATCCATATGCATTGCTAACCATTCACGTCAGCCCTAGCGTTTGGTTAGAAAAAGAGAATTCATGCAGCAAAGTCAATATGAGGTCAACAGAGCTCAGGCAGGATTAAATTGTAGTTTGAAAAGCTCAGACTAGTTGGACGATCATAAACTCTCAAGGAGTAAACTAATGGGGTGGATATTTTTCAGGGACAGAAAATAGTAATTTACAACAAGAACAAAAAAGTTACCTTTACAACGACATTCATGTAGACCAAACAGAAAAGCACAAGAGCTCTACGCCTAGCATCGCTTTGGTTAATCCCATCAATGAGCTTCGCTGAAAATGATGCTGGCAACGCATAAAACATATATGAGATGTGATTCATTTGTTGCACAAACAAACATACTAGTTTCAGGCATCCTAACAGTTCTTTTACCCAATGGATCAGCTTTGAATGTGTTCAAATCTTCAACATTCACTTCAAAAGTTCCTCCATGGCCATCAATATATGTGCATGAGCTGCATGCTAAACTTCTATTAGATGAAACTGACATCTGAAACTTCCAAAATTCTGTTTCTATTTTATCCTGATCATACTTTATCAGGTAAAAAGGCATGTGGGACATCACATGTAGGCAGCAAGTACAGTTGATTGCCTAGGAGCCAAATTTTCAAACCGACAGCTTAGTTCTACAGTCTCACCAAAAAATGAAAACATGGACTTGACCATACTTCTGATGCAATATATTATACTCTAAACAGGTTTCCAAGGTTATGATAATTATAATTGTCTGCGAATTAGTATTAGTTAATGTCAGTCGTTAATTATTAATAAATTGAGGTCACGGGGTGTTAGTTACCCTTGTTACCTCCTATCCTATCAGGAGGAGTTTTGTAAATCAGTTTTGACAATTAATGGAAGAACAGTTTCCAGTTTCTCCGTTCCTACAGTTTCTCTCTCCTCTCTATCTGTTCTCTCATTCCCTCTCATTTTTCTCCAACTTCCTTCTATCCTATTCTTTCTTTTTTTTTTTGGTAAGCACAAGTATCCTTCTATTAAAGGCAATCCTATTCGACACACTGTCAGGCACTGAGAGCAGGCACCTCTCCTAACGGGGATTTGAACCTTGGTTTACCATGTTGTAGGGAACTAACCCCTTCCACCAGACCCAACCCCCATTAGTTCTATCGTATTCTTTTACATCATTCAACTTTGTGATATAAATCTTGTCAAGGTTAAGATTATTTATCACATTTAAAAGGAACCATCCCGTTTAACAACTAATAAAACTAAAAAATTTAGGATAGAGGCAGAGGTGAACAATAAAGAATGAAGAAATTTAGTAGAATAATGAGCATATTTTCAGTGAGTGGAATATTTTGCACGGCAAACTTATTTCAGGATTGTGACCAACTAATATGTCCAGGATACTATAATTCAGTATGATGATGATTGTAATCACATAGCCAAAAAAGTCAAGCTACAATTGTAAGCACCCAAGTTCCTACCTCATTTCAAATTTATACACCGAATATCTTTCTACATCTCCCAATATTTCTTGAAGACTATCACTTCGTGATGCACGGCTAAGGCTAGAGCTTAGTACACCAGAAACAACATAACTGAAGTCCTTCATTGCTTTTGGCTCAGACATTACAACTTGCTCAAGTTTTTCTGCAAGAGATTTAACCTACACCAAGAATATTCAGTTATTATTTTGAAGGATGAATTTAAGTTCATAAAAAAATTGTCTTCAAAGTATGTAGGCAAGATTAAAGCAAGTCGTTTTTCCAATATTCATTGACAAGAAGTTTTAGTAGTACTGATCCCCTTGATTACTGATTTCACGTAAAGTAGAAAAGATATTAATTTTCTGTTTTTTTTTTTTAAGTGAAAGGTTAAAAAGATATTAACCTTAACAGAAAAGTGCATCCTTTACAGTATAATCTAAATGTTAATTGCACATTACACAAAATTTCAGAAAAAAGTTTATATATGCAGATCACTTAATAGACACGACACTTCCAATTGTATCTGTCAAAATGTTGCCTGTATTTTGTTGGATTTTGATACTAGAACTATAGTAAATCATATTTGGAAGTTATGAATGAAGCTTCCTTGTCCTGTTAAAAAAATTGAAGATAAAAAGATTTCATCAAGCAGAACCACAATGTTAATTTGCAATGAAATTAAGTATTTCCTAACTTCTAAGATCCTCCTGATCTGGGAGTCAACCTGTCTAGTAACTGAAATATTGATGACCGTCTCTATAAGCCACCATTTTCCGAGAGTACAGCTTCATCAGTTCCATTGTTCAATTATAAGTATACCACTTTAACAATTTAGAGGAATCAATCAACGCCATATTACTGGTTATAATGAAGACCTCCAGGTGGTAAAGATAATGAAGCTTAGTTTTTTTCTACAGAAAATGCCTTAAAATTTATTGGTGAAGGAGCAATAACTCATCAAGCAACAGACGTGGAAACTTTGTAGAGCCCGACAAAATGAAAGTGAGTGGGCACATGGAGACGTTACCTTATCTTCATTAAGTGGAACAACATCCCCAACTAAAGCAACCCGTGCTGGTGACTAGAACACGTCAATAAATAAATCAACAAGTCAACATCTTCATATTTTTCCAATCATAGAGAAGATTAAATTATGATTTATTAGTACTAGGAGCCTTTTGTTACCCATCTCATGCAGAGGATAATGATTGGGAGTCAAGGGTTTATGATACCCTACCTTTTTCAATGATTTAAGTAAGCCACCTAGGGGGCCTGGAAAAGGAGTGGTCACAGCAAAAGAACCACGCTCATCAATCATTGCATTCTGCAAGAAAATACAAATATATCATATCATCCTTGCAACTGCGATTACATACAGATGCAATTTCTTCACTAAGGTAAATTTAAACATTTTACAGAGATAAGTGGAGAATAAACTGATTTTCTCTCCTAGCAAGCAGCCAACTATTCTTCTATAACTGTAATTATCATTCCTGAAAACCATGAACCTAACAGGTTTCCTGCTGATGAAAATCAGATCGGGCTTTCATCTAACATTGATTCTTTCGGTTAGCCGAATAAAGACCAGTGTTTCAAAAAAGAAAAGCTCTTTTCCTCAAACTTTTTTCCCATTCAGCAGCACGTCCGAACAGGCAATTTAAGTCAGTAAATCCTACCCTTCACAACAGGGACATCAACACCATGGTTCTGGTGATTTGATTGGCATAAGTACAGACTCTAAACAGGGCAAATGAATTCAGCATTCTACTTTTCTTAAGGCCCTCCCCCCTTTATGTGCAAGAAACTCGTTAATGTTGCCCTTGCAGTGCAACGTGACGTTTCTAGCTTGTTGAGAATCAGAGTAAAACAATACGATATTTATATGATGAAATTTAACATTTCTTCCTCCTGACAAGGGAAAGGATGAAAACTATAAACGGGAGAAAAACAAGACAAGGATGGAAACTTACCACATTATGTAAATCGTTTTCCGGTACCCAAATGTATGGCTTCCCTCTCCTGATTATGTACTTAACTTTCGATGTATAGATGCCGCTTTTGCTGACATAGGCAAAGTAAACATCACTTCATTAGCAAATACAAAATTCTGTAGCTGAAACCCCCATAATAAAAATAACAACTATACTGAATGAACCATCATAACGAACAGCATCCAAGAAAATATCATGTCAAATAAAATTATACAGTTCTTTACACTGCCATAACTAGCAGCACAAGACAGGACAAAACTAGGTACCTTCCTTTGACATCTGCTTTGATGGTATTGAGATAACCTTGCCAGTTTGATGCCAATATATTCTGCAGAACAGAACCATTTAACAGTCAATATATGCTCACTTCTGCAGAACCCAAGAAATTCCAATAGAAGCGTAGAGATGGATAGAGAAGTAGGACCTTGCACTTCTCTGCCAATGACAAAGTGCGGGATTTCATGGCTTCTCGATGTTAGTGATATGCCCACCACCTGCTCGACAAAAGTAGGAGCTTGCTTCCAGAGCTCAATAGAGCAAAGGAGGGCTGTATGGGTACGGCGAGGAAGGGTGCGCGAGGAGACCAACAAACCAGACGGTGGTTTTAGCGTTCGCGGTATTCATTCACTGATCCAATTATTAATTTGTTTAGCATCAGGGCATATTAGTTTAGAACATAGAAAAGTGATTACCTGTTCTTTTTTTCTTTTTCTTTTTTCCAATTTTTTAAAATTTTTTTTTGCCAGTTCTTATTTTTGTTAATTGCTAAAAAGTCTGGGCCGGGGGTGTGGGATTTCTGACTTATTATTTTTAATCTTTTGAAAGTGATATAGAAAAAATAAAAAAATTAGTAAAAATAGAAAAGAATATGTTCAGAAGATAGTAAACATACACGGAAAAAAAATCTTTTATTTCATTTATACTTATATATGATAAGATAATTCATAAAGTATTTGAAACTTTAACCAAATTACTACATTACTACTTCCTCCACCTCGTTTTATAAGATTTTTTTGAAAAAAAATTGCGAATACAAATGAAATGAATTAGTTTAATATCTTAAGTTTTCTAAATGTGAACTTCCAAAAATATCCTTTTAATCAGGATATTCAAAAAGTAAATAATGATAGATAATTTTGAAATAGATTTCATTAGCAAATGATTATTTTTTAAAAAATATCTTATTTTATGCACCATCAAATCATTTAAAAAAACAGATCTTATATCTTACAAACTGGGAGGAAGCCCAACTTTGTATGATTCATAGTTTGGACTATTTGAGAGGAGTTTAGTAACCCTCAAAACTACTTTTAAAATTCATTTTTTATAAAACGAAACAAATTTTTTTATATATTTATTTTGTAAATCATAAAAATATTTTTAAAATTATAATTTGGTTTTTACTAAAACACTCTTTTAGACTCTTGTATGTGACTATCAATTCTACCCATGCAATGGTGACCGTAAATATACTGCCTGGGGTATTTAGGGAGTGTTTAGATTAGAATTGTTTTTAAAAATTATTTTTTCATAAATTGAAATAAATTTTTTCGTATATTTATTTTGTATACCTAAAAACCCCTAAATATAAAATTCAATTACAAACTAGATGATACTGGGGGGGACTTAGCTAAACTTGCATTTTGTGATTGATTGCTGTTTTGCCGGTTTGTCAGTTGCAAAATTAGAGGATATTTTCGCATTCATCGCCCGTTCATCTTGAACATCTCTAGTCTACAGGAAATTACGCCGAAAATGCAATACCGTGGCAGGGGCGGTGGGGGATCTCAAGTGGTTAAAATAATAATTTGAAAATTTTTAAAGAAACTCTGGGCAAATGGAATGTGTTGTATAGTCCTTCCGCCTTCTGCTTTTTGTGCGCAAGGCGTCAATCGTTCAAGATTCTCCCCAGGGCCTCCTGCTGGTGCTCACTGCACTGTTGGACAGTAATGACTAAAGCGGCGAGTTGAGTCGTAGCTCCGTTCTTCACTTGCTTGTTGACATTGGGAGCCATCTCCATGGAGTCCGTGGAGAATTCATCGGAGGGACTTCCCTCTTCCCCATCGTCACATCTTTCTGCGATATTTGACCGAGATCGTCATATCACACTCCTTCAGATGATGTACCAGTTGCTGCCATCCCCTTACCAGCTCCAAGAGATCAATCGCCTTACCCTCGCTTACTTTGTCATCTCCGGACTTGACATTCTTGGGGCTCTCGATCGGGTATTTATCATTCCTCTCTCTTGGGGATAATTCAATGGGATTTGAACATGTGAATTCTGGGTCTCTTTTTCTAGGTTGAATATTCCTTCAACCGTTATAGGGGGTTATTCATATTGAACTTGACTGTACAGCTAACCGGTTGCCCTTTTGGGCATGCATATCAGCTATGCAGTCGCAAGTTTAGATTTTTCTCATGCACACTCGAGTGAAAAGAATTTAGTTATATATGACTGCTCTAGTAATTAGCGATAGAGACCATGAGATTCCTGTGACTAATGGAGTGCTTGATAATAAGGGAAATGGAAAATTAGAATAACACAATTTATCAGTTCAAGTACATATTGTTTTGGGCACCTACATTTTACCCCTAAATTATGGCCCGAATTCTAAATTGTCATATAAACTTCTAACCGTCTTATAACACCCCCTTGAACTTTAGTATGTATTAAGACATCAAGCATTACTTAATGGGGCTGGTTTGTCATATTTTAGAAGTTCATGTGCTACTTCTGTTGTTAAGTCGCAGTCAGCGAGGATAGAATGTTGTGTTCCCTTGTTCTTACCTCTTCATTTTTCATGTTTTCATTTCTATGAAGCATATCATAAGTAGTAGTAGTTATGGCAGTAATAGTAATTGAATTGGCAGCATCGGGTTGATTTATGACACACTTATATGGTTATAATGTCAACTTTTGTGAAAACCATGACATGGGCAGTGAGAGCTGGGATTTCATTTTGGTCCTGAAATGCTGTGGTAGGTATTCTTCACATTTTTTAATGTGAAGAATATTTATTAACACTGGCATATTCAGTCTCAGTGGTGAGGCTTTGAAGGTGCACTCCCCGGGTTTATGTCAGAATAATGGTCTAAGAAAGAATACTTATCAACGTTTATACCCATTTTATTTCCTTTGATAATGTTTTCAATTTTTTTACTTGTCAGGGGTTCAAAGCAGGTTGGAAACAAGTTAACCAAATTTTATTTTGTTTTAGCATTGTTTGAAACATTTTGGTGAAACATAAATAAATAAATCCAGGTGAAGATGGCCCATATGTGAACCTAATATGGCCATATAGGCGTTTACCGAAATGGCTGCAAGCAATAAGTATTGGCACGTCTTAGGGTTATGGGCTCTAAACCTAGAACACCATTATGCATTTTGACCATCTTATTTCAATGTCTGTAGTCAATTTAAACTTACAGCATTTATTTGCCTCTATCATGTCCTTTCTCCATTTTTTTGAACGAGCTTACATTTAGGGTAAAATGTCTGTGTCTTGTCGGGATACTGATACCCTGTTGACGAAGCTACTCAAAATAAGTTGTTGCTCAATGTCTTTAGGCTGCTATATTATGTTTGAGCTATTATTAATATCATTGGCTGTCTTAATTACTTCTGTTAGGGTATGTTTGGGAGTTTGGAGGACAAGGAAGGGGAAATAAAGAGGAGGGGGCTAATGGATAAATTATTTCTTTTCCGTTTCCTTGTTTGGTGAAAAGTTTTCCTTCAAATCCCACAAATTGAATGAAGTGGATATATAATGGAGGAAGTACTTCGGAGGATTGCAGAAGGTTTGCTGAAAATCCTTCACTATTCTCACATTCTTATTAATAACTCTCAAACAGGGGAAAGGTTCTCTTCCCATCCTTTCTTGTTATCCTCCACTCAAACATACCATTAGATGCCATCGTAAGATTACAATTAACTTGTGAACTGTATGCCTATTCTACCAAATGTTATAGGTTGACAAGGATGCTGTTGCCAATTGGGTTTTGTCCTTGCAAGTTCACCATAGAAACCAAGCAGACAGAAACAGTGGTATGAAATGCTTCTTATGAAATTTGTATACGGCTTTTAGCAACATATTATCTCTAATATTTGACTGAACCTATAAGTAAAGTTGATGTGGCTATCTTTTTTTTTTTCTCCTGCAGGACAATTCTTTGGTTTTCTCGGTTCCAGGACTTCACAGTTTCCTCAAGTTGATAATGGGGTATGAAGAAACGTGTAAAGTGCTAAACATGTTCCGAGTTTTATGTTTTGGTGAACAATGTACATTTGTTTCTTCAAAAATATGTTGAGCAAGTGCTTTGCTTTTTCTTGTAAACTTCTTATCCCAATCATTTTATGTTAAGTAACTTATCAAAATGTAATTCTGCTAGGTTTCACTTCCCAACAACAGTCACTTGGCAAGCACTTACTGTGCCCTTGCCATATTAAAAATTGTTGGTTATAAACTGTCCAACAATGACTTTGAATCAGTATTGACATCAATGAGGAATCTTCAACAGCCTGATGGAAGGTATGCTTTTAAATTTCTGGAACCTTCTTAAGTAATAATCTTATTAATTCCCTGCATCCATATTCCTTTACTTTTCGGTATGTGGTTTCGAACTGACACCATGATGATATGCTTAAATCAATTTTCATTCCATTTAAAATTGATCTCCGTAAACTGTAATTCAGAATAGTTCTTATTCACTAAGATTGTGCATCTCTTGTGATAGCTTTATGCCCATCCATACTGGGGCTGAAAAAGATCTGCGATTCATATATTGTGCGGGTAAGAGTTATAATTAAGATGATATTTAGCTTATTTAATGGAATGACAATGTTATTTCGTATCAGTATTACTTATGGACTGTATCAGCTGCCATCTCTTTCATGTTGAATGACTGGAGCGGCATGGACAAAGAAAAAGCCAAGGATTACATATTACGCTGTCAGGTTTGTAGACCTAGTCATCAACTATTCTTGGGGTTTACAATATTAGTGGTTCTGGCAGTAATATGCATCAAATTTGTGGCTTTTCTTCACCTTTTCCTTGCTTTTTCAGTCTTATGATGGTGGCTTTGGATTAGTTCCTGGTGCAGAATCACATGGTGAGTTGGAAATAATTCTCATTATTTGACTTATCTGTATTCCATGCTGGAAGACGGGCTGTTGCGATGTTGTTAGTTACATCAGCTGTGGCAGCTCTGGTGTATGATTTTCCAAACGCACTTGCTTATCGCTTCATAAATCTGTTTAATTATATGTTTCACATTCATGTTGGTAGTAGCAGTGCGAACCTGGGTCCAGCACTATATTGTTCTTTGTCAAGCGTTAAAGTCATTTTTAACTGCAGAATACCTAGTTTGTTTACCAACTTCCTTCTGTTTGCTTCTTCCTGTATCCTTCATTTACATCCATGCTCCATGTTATTGCTGTTGTGTGGTTCCACGGCTTCTTCCCTTGTTTCATTTTTTTTTTTTTTACTTGTCCCATCAATATGAATTCATGTTTGTTGAATATCAGGCTCGTTTGGGTTGGCGATTATAAACACTTATAAGCATGTTTTACATAAATCAAAACAACATTTCTCTTACATACTTATCTCACATTTTGTGAATCGTGATTGAAAAGCTACTTATAAACCATTCTAAATGGGCTCATCATGATTATGCCTTATGTCTGCTGGTATTTCCAAAATAATATCTATCAACATTAGTTTTTTTAATGGAATAGGTGGGGCAACTTATTGTGCTATTGCATCCCTCCGATTTATGGGATTTCTTGAAGATGATCTTCTCTCGAGTTCTGCTATGTCTCCTGTGATAGATGTACCATTGTTACTGGATTGGCTTGTGCAGGTTTGTTCCGCAAAAGCTTTCGAAAATTGAAACAATGGTTTGATAATTATCCTTCATTAACATTTTGGAATTGTTAACTTTTAGCACTTGAAATGTTCTTTCTTGATCAAGATACCTTAATTATTTCTTCTATTTCAGAGGCTGGGGACCGATGGTGGTTTTCAAGGTAGACCTAATAAAGTTAGCGACACGTGCTATGCATTTTGGTAAGTGGTATTAGATACTATTGGGAATTCCAGGGTACAGCATTATAAATTTGTCATAGCCTTGACAGAATCATGTGCATATATAGGATTGGAGCAGTTTTGAGGATTTTGGGGGCCCACAACTTCATTGACAAAGGAGCTCTTCGTGGATTTCTGCTTGCTTGTCAATCTGAGGTACTGCAATCACTAATTTCTGTTTACAAGATGGTGTGTTTTGGTTTTATGGAACAATGAAATGACATGTCAGATTTGTATCTTTAGAAAATGCAAGAAAAATAATGATAGGTTAACCTTGCTTTTATTGCAAAGTTTATTAGAAAAATGGTAAGTTTCCGGTTTTATGGAAAGGAGAGGGCTAAAGTTGAGAGAGACAAGGGAACAATGAGGGGCTGAATGGACTCTTTGTTATCCTGCCTTGGGGTGCTCCTTGTGTGGTCCCGGTCCCACTCATTTTGGGACTAGATTGTCCCGAAATGCCCTGAAACCGAAAATTTTTGGGAAGACAAAATCAGAACAGGACAAAAATGTCTCGGAACAGGACAGGACACGAGAAGGGGGTGTCCTGTCTCGGTTTCATCCCAATATATTATTTTTTTAATTTTATAAATTTATTTTACTTACCATCAATATAATAGTAATAATATAATTTTATAATTATGTTGTCTACAATTTATGATTTTTTCTGTATGGGTTATATGATATTTTTTTGGGAATATTTTGAGTTTATATATTTTTTGTCTTTCAAAAAGAAACATTTTTCTTTGTTAGTTTTTTCATTAATGTCAATTTTTTAGCCAATTTTTATATTTTTTTTCATATAATTTTTATTAAGAGTATTTATGCTATAAATACATTTAGTTTTGAAATAAAAAATTTTAAAAAAATTTTTAACAAAAATAAATAAGATGTCCTGTCTCTGTTTGGGAGGAGACACCATTGGGACAAGACAAGACACGAGATGAAGAGGCCATATTGTCCCAATTATAGGGATGACAGGGTTGTCGTGATCCTATCCCATCCCATGAACACCTCTAATCTTGCCAATCCTCTTTCTTTGTCCTAGCTTGCCTTCCCCAACCCCCCTCCCAAAAAAAAAAAGGGAAAAAAAACCATATAATATAATATAGATTCTGTCCCATGCATGGAACTTGCCAGCTATTGGTAAACATTAAGCAAATGCCAAGGTTGTTCTAGTCGAACATGCTATGACTATGCTTTTTTTGGAAGTACTTGGTAATCAGGATACTTGTGTTTCGAAATCCATTGGTGTTTTGCCTCATAGTCATCCATGGTAGAAATTGTTGAAATGAGAACTAAAGTGACGCCTCGAAGGACCACACGCCCCTTGTTCTCTAGGAAGTGAAAAACTGCGATTCTTGATGAGCTTTCACATATAATATATATACTTATTAATGATGTGATGATATTAAATCTTTATGCCTCTTAGACCCTGATTCTTGGCTGTCTGTGACTAATTTAGCTGCTTATGTTGGTTCTTCACCAGTATGGCGGGTTTGGTAAAGTCCCCGGAGACTTTCCGGATCTGTACCACTCTTACTATGGATTTACTGCCTTCAGTCTCCTGGAAGAACCTGATTTGCTATCACTTTTCCCTGAACTGGGGATAACAGGACTTGCTGCAGGGGGAGTTTAATTTATCAGTTTTTAGGCTTGGATGTGCCCAGTTGTTCCAGTGTCAGTCAATTGCTTTGGTCAATAGTTTTTCTTCTTCTTCCAAAATTAGGTGAAGAGTGTAAGCCTACCACCTTGATCGGTGCATATTACTGTTATAGTTACCAAAGTATTGTCTAGTAATGATCTAAGTTGGTTTGGAGTCACCAAACTATTGCCTTGTGATGATTTAAGAGTATTCACTACATGACTTTTATTGAATCATATTACAATATTTCTGAGGTGCCTAATGCCCATGCTTCATTTATTTTGTTTTCGTGTCAATATCGTAAAAATTTAAAAATAATACTCACCCAATCTCAAATGTAAGACCTATTTTATAGTGTATGGGTCCTATATTTATGACCGGAAGACTTGATTGGATTTTACATTCTATGGGATAAATTAAAAAGGATTAAGCACCATTAAACTATCTTACTATTCTCAGCCGAGTTTCTCTTTTGTAATTTTGTTTGCTGAAAGAAATTAGAAAGGAGCAAAGGGCTTAAATTGATTTTTTTCATATATTGCATCAAGACCTAATTCGGCAATTCAATGGAAAAATTGGTCAATATTTTTATAATATCACTTTTTTTTTTCCATAATCAACCATGTAAAATATCAATCAATTATAAAGAAAAATGCACAATCTATGCGGTCGGAATGTTATGCATCAAAATTATTTTCATTACTTGAGTGAATATCATTTTTCATCAAGTCTTATGCCTTCTAGGTCTCTATTGAAACCTTTGCAAGATATGAATAAATCCTTAGCAACTGGAAATCAACTTTCCTTGACAATTAATTGGTTTTTATTTTTATAAGATACTTCAAATCAGAATCTAATATACCCATTTACTGATGGAATAAATTAGTCCATCCAAGTTTTTAAAACATTTAAAAAAGAAAGAAAGAAAATCAACCCTGTCAATTTTGAAGAAAAATTGAAAGGATCTAGACTTCATAAAACATTAATTTTGTTTTCATGTCAATTTAGAAGGAAGATAATGTACGGGCCAAAGGTAACTAGTTATATACATTTAAGTAACTTTCATTATTCTGACAGTATCTTGTACTTTCTATAAGATCTTATACATTCTATGTCTGTTCAAGTAGTAATTAAAAACATGTAAACTCATAAAGAGCATCATAGCCTACCTTGAGCATTATGGCCTAGCTTGTGTTGTCCCTTTCCTTGCCTCTCTGCACTTCTCAGTTGGGTTTCTCCTGTGTAGGCTTTAATAACTTGAATCTTGTAGGTGGAGTTGATGGCTTTACTCTATTAAAATCTGCAGAATCATCATTTGCTGATTGAAAATGAGGATTCACACTCAAAGGAAGAGCAAGGGGAGAAGTTAAACAAGGTGAAGTTGAAGCCAAAGGTGTGAAATATGGAGTCTCCACAATGAAAGAATCACATGGACTAACTCTACAACTGGACTTGTTCACACTCTCAGATTCTGAGCCCTCCTTAATTCCTTCTTCAATTGTGAATAAGAATCTAGGACTCCGAGGATACCTGCAAGTCTGTGTTTGAACTTGCCCTTCTGGATCATCATTAAAACCTGACCTTTCTTCACAGAACATTTGAAATAGGTCTTTCCCAGTAATGTTGATGTCCTTTTCTGAATCTGTATGACTTGTTCTCTTCTTCCAGCACAAGAAGTAGCAAACCTCAGCCACCAGAAGTATCAGAAGGCAGCCAAAAGTTAAACCCAGAACAAGGCCCACAATACTCAGTGATTTCATCTTCATCCTTAAATCACAGTGCAAAAGTAATTGATATATATATATATATATATATATATATATATATATATATATAAAAGCAAGAAAAGCAGTGGAGCAGAGCCTTTTTCCAGTGATGAGGTAAAACTTTGTGGGTAATAACTGACAGTTTCAGCCTCCTCTCAATGGAAGAAAACCGGGGGAAGTGTAACTTATCATTTTGACGCAAAAATTGTTAGTAATAGATACCTTAATTAACCTCTTTCCTCAGGTAACAATAGTCCGTTTAATAGTTTTAAAGCCACACAAAACATCAATATGACTACACTTGCAAGTCATTACCGGGAAACTTTAGCTTTAATCACACTTTAGACCAAAACACACTCAGGTGGATCAGTCCCATCATTACCCACAAAGGTTTTTTTCCTTTTGAAAAAAAAAAAACAGTTTTTAAGGGGAAGCAAAGAAAGAAAGATGCCGTAAACCATAAACTTAGGGGTGTACGCCAAACTTGTAATCCAACCAACACAGGAAATTCTGATTATATTTGATTAGGTTAGATGAGGTTAAAAAAAAAAAAAGAGTTAGGTCAGAATTGATGTTCGTAAAAAAAATTTATAAAGAAAAAATTTTTAAAAAAATTATTTTTTAAAAAAAAACTTCGTAGTGGAAATATAATAAATTCATACAAGTCTTATCCCATATAAAATGTGGGGATATAAAATGTAGCAAGTCAACTGCTCTCCAAGACTAGTTCATCAAAATAGGTCCCATTTTGTCTTTTAATACTCTGGCCAAAATTGATAATAATACCAAAGTCATATGATAGTATCAAGTTACCAGAATACCAATTTCAACTACATTGAGTTAAAACATAATATAAGACTATAACCCAATTTTCCTATATAGAAAACTATAAATCCCAGTGGCCATAAAATTTTAGGCAGCATGCAGATGTTCGATCTTGCATAAATATTGGCAATGAAAAATCTATCTCTTGTTCAATCAGGTCCAAAAGAATGTTTTTCTCATAATGAGATAAGATCAATCATTAACTCGTCATAGAGAATAATAGAACATGTATTGCGCTTATCTATTATCACACTTGCACGACGTAAACATCAATGCTGGTGAAAGAAGAAATTATTTGTTTTTAAGTTTTTTATTATACAAGAACCAGAAGAAAGAAGCAAATAAGGCAATAATTAGGAAAAAGGAGATAGTTTAGCACTAGGAGCATCTTTTCCTTCAAAATGCTTTCATGTCGTCTGGAGCTGAACAAGAAAGAAAGGACCTAAAGGAAGTCATGAGACAAAGAATGTCCAAAAATACGAACTCGCATTGATGATTTAATGAGTTAAAGAATAGAGTCAATCTCCAAAATCCAATGCAAGATCTTTCTGATCACCTGAGTTCACTTTGAAGGATAAGTTTTATAAGAAATCATCCCCATATACCTAATAAGAAAAACTCAAATACTGAACTTTTGAATTGGAAAAAAAAAAAAATGGTGACCATTATAATCCATCATCTGGTGTATGTTCAATAGTTCAATGTGCAAGCCCTTCGAAGTCAAACAGCAGTAATATAAAATATTAATTATGTCTAAAAAATAAGGCAGTTCAAGAGGAGACAACGAATAATGAGTGGAAGTTATTATTTCATGTCTGCACACAAAAGTCAAAATAACTTGAGACTTGTTTGAGTTTTAAAATAAGTGAATACAACAATATGAATTTTAGTTAGATGCCCGTTTTTGTTTCACCGTGTTGACCAAACTCTGATTTGAGACCCTTTAATTGAGTGCTACGGTGAGAATTATCAGTGTGAAAGCTTGAAAAATTAAGTATAATATATAATTCTTCATACCTGACGAGTGACAAAGAACTCAAAACACTTTGCCCAGAACACAGAAACGCTGGAGAGTATTAGTCTGCCCGAGACACTGGAGGGGTTTTTCAAACTGGTCCTTGCATGATTGGATGAAATGGAATGCTGAGAACAAAGCATGGAGGAGCCAGAAATGGAATTCTTTCATGGAAGATAAACACTGGAGGCCTTCAGATGTAAAGAGATCTTTTGGGGAGGAAAGTACACGTAATTCAGGAGGACTTATTAAAGCATTTATGTAAGGAAGTTAGGGAATCTGGATTCTCTAAAATTTAACATCTCAAATTCTACCCAATGTACCAGTAAATTGTGTTATATATAAATCTTATTATATAATATAAAGATAGGCATATATAGAGTATTACTCTCTCCATTCCTTATTATAAGAGACATTTGATGCTTATGACATGTTCCTATATATAAGAGACATTTAAAAGTTGTCTCTATTTTTTTGTATTGATTTCTTATTTTACCCCTATTTATTTTGTCTCATACTCATACTCTCTCTCCCTCCCACTTCTCTTTCTTTTAATAATTTAATTATTCTCTCTCATACTCTCTCTCCTTATTAATGGGGATATTGTTGGAAAAAACATTATACTTTTTAGATATTAATTGTCCTCAACTAATTTTAACTGTTTTTTTTATCAACGTAATTTGGTTATTTATCTCTTATAATAAAGAACGGAAGGAGTAATACTTTACCTAGAACTTCACAGCCCCAAACTTCAGGTGATATCGATTCGAAAACTTAGGGCCTCTGAAATGTTGAAACAGCAATGAGATGTTAGACTGCAAGATTATTATAAGGAAGTATAAATATAGAATAATATTAATACAGATAAATACAGATAAACAGGTTGAATATTTGGGCGCTTTTTATGGCCATCAATATTTGTGCATTCCTTTTATTATCCGTGTAACAGTGGGTCTTTTGCATTTGTAGAAAGTTTGCAACGAAATATATTATTCATAACTTTTGAATAATGCAGTTTCCAGTACTTTTTATATTTCAAGTTTCTTGAAGAAAAAAACCAAAAACTAAGCAAATGATGCAGGAATTTCTTGTCTGAAAAAAGTATTTAATCCATATAATCCTAGTAATCACTTCGGATAATAAATCATCATAAGATCAGTATAGTAAACGGACAAAAACTAAAATGGCAAGAGCACAAAATGTTTTTTGTGACATACGAAAGAAAATAAAAATTGAAATTCAAAACAACAATCAATTATAAGATTTTTAAAGAATAAAAATTTAAATGAGTAATTAAAATCAGTATAATCAATATCATCAATATATATTATAAAATAGAGGACAAATCGCACTATTCATCAATAAAAATAGCGTGACCAATTTCTTAAATTCCATAAACATACAAGAAGTGAAGAAATGTCTTTGGTAATAAAAGATATAAATAACCTAATCAAAATAACAAGTTACCATATGATAAACGGAATGCTCATCAAGTGATCAATACCGTAAACTCATCAGATATAAACTATCCAGATCTAATCTGAACGGTCTAGGTTTAAAATTTTTAATTAATTATTTTAAATGAAAAAATTATTTTTTTAAAAAGGATCTTCCATTCCTATTAAAATAACTATTTTAAACAAATAAAAACAAAAATAAATTAAATATGGACTGTTCCCATCAAATCTATGCAATGCAGATTTGATGAGCTTGGGGTGACTCATCAGTTTTAATGATAAACACACACAAACTAGCAAGGAATGAAGCTAAAGCCTAACGAGGGCGTGTGAAAATTTTAGGAAAAAAATTGTAAACCCATTATTATAGCACCCTAAAATTTTGATGGTGAATACCCTTCAGAACTAAATATTTTATGAATACCCAAGATCAGATCAGTTCATAGCTGTAACTTGTTAGAAGTTTCTGGCAAAAAAAAAAAACTTGTTAAAGGTAAAAATAGACATGCTGAGAAAATTGAGGTGAGTTCTAATCATGTAACACGACATCTCCATGATTATCATTCCATTCTTGGTCGGACAACGTGGATAGTTTGTATTTCGTCCATTGACGTGCATGAAATGCCCAGGCAACACGAGACACTAGGGTCAAAGTAATCAAAATAAAATTTGAATATTAATTCCGATCTGAATCATCGTTAGGCCCACCTGTCTTCTTGGGTTGACAATTCAAATTCATCCACCGATCAGCTAATTACTATTTCTCACTCAGGGTATTCTAATAGTAATAGGATGTATGAAAATAAATATTCATTAACTAAAAATAATTTAATTTTAACGAAAGCTGTAAAAAAAATAATGAAACGGCTTCCCCCAAAGAAAAGGAATGAATCATTGATTAACGATTAATATGATATTCTTAAAATTATAATTAAATCCTTTCAAGAATAACTGTTTTTAAAATTAAAAACTCACAAGTATTTCTTTTTTCTTTTGCCAGAAGCCTGTGTAATTCTGCTAAAATAAAAAGTAGAGATGCCGATTCCCGAATGAAATCCTCAGCACTTTTTTTTTCCTTGTCTACCTTAGATCATAAATTGAGATTTTCTTAAATACTTTACATTTTACATTAAACAAAATCTCACAAAAACAACATAAAAATTACTAAATTCTGAATTAATATTATTTTCAACACATTTTTGTAAGAATTCGTGATTCGAGATTTAGTTTTTTTATGGGATTTCTTCTTACATTAAAGCCCAAATGACGCAAGAAAAAAAAAACCAAAAGAAGAAGAAGGATAAAAAAAATTGTTTGTTTTATGAATATCACGCAATCATTTTTGTAAATAAATAGGAATATCACTTAAGGGAATCCTACGTCATTTTTTTTCTCTTTTTATTTTTAAAGTTTATTCTAAAATAACTCATAAGATCTCATTTGCCGGAATAAACCTCCTTGGCTGGACGAAATACAGTCTATCTATCTATCTACTCCTCCTGTCCTTAATATAGGACCCAATTGTTGAGTTGGTTTTGATCCTAAATATAAGATCCATTTCTCATATTTATAAATTTTATCTAAATTACCCTTATGGATACTCTCTCAACCATAATCAAGTAGAAGAGGAAGATGGCGTATTAAGAAAGATGATTATGGTATTTTAAGAAAAACGTGTCACATTTCTTATAATTAACTAAGTTACCTAACTTCTTTAATCTAACCAAATTAGTTAAATGAGTCTTATATTAAGGACCGGGGGAGTATTATCTTAACAACAAAAAAAGTCAAATAAAATTAAAGAAAAATATGTTTTCAAAATTCATTTTTTTTAATTACTTTCCTCTCTTCTCTTTATTTTCTAGCTAATATATATTTCATCATTTAAACCTTTAATACTGATAGTAAAGCAATTAAAACCTAACCAACAGAGAATAGATGCTCTAACCTGCTGGTGCTTGGGCTAAGGCTAGTACTCCGTCAACCTCCTGTTTCTTACGTTACTCATTCAGCTTTCAGAAAGAATGACATTGATTCATTGAAAGCAATATGAACGATAGTGTTTTTTTAATTTAATTTCATTTATATTTCACAAAATTATAAATATATTTTCCCCAATTTCTATTCAACATTCCATGCGTTCTCTCTCTCTCTCATATGCTCTTCAGGGGAAAAAGTCCCTTTAATTTAATTGTGCTGCCTCTATACATCAGCCACTTCTCTCTCTCTCCTCTCTCTCTCTCTCTCTCTCTCTGCCTTTCCCTTCTTGTACCATCTTTGTTCTCATTCATTTCCTCACCTCTTTCCTCTGGGTTCCTCATGCAACTCTTGCCCTTTGGCCCCCCCTCCCTTTTCTCGTGAGACTCTTATCTCCTTCTTCGAAACTCAGAGGCAGCCATTGATGCTCATATTCATTACTTGAACTACCCGATATGATTTCTCATCATATTCCCACATGATTTCTCATCTTGCTGCTTACAACGCCAGCATCTCCGTATCCCCAATTCTCACTGTCAGCTACCATGAGATCCCCCCAGGCCCTCCGTAACGGCGGCGACACCCGCTCTCCCACCCCCGGTTTCCACTCCACTGTGGCCGAACGCAAACTGCGTCGTTTCAACTCCCTCATCCTCGTCTTCCGCCTCACCTCCTTCTCCTTCTCCTTCGCCGCCTTCGTCTTCATGCTCACCAACACTCGCGGCTCCGATTCTCCTCACTGGTACGACTTCGACACCTTCAGGTACCCCGACCCTACTTCTGCTACCGAAAATAACAAGGTTCCTAATATAATCCTAATTCATAACCCAACCTTAGCAAGCTACTGCCTACTTCAATTTTCAGTATTGCTCGGCTTCAATCCCAAAAATTATTGAGAATGCGAATTTTTAAGCGAAGACTTACTTGTGCATTCGTTAATTTTGTGAATGAAACTACAAAATATGCAGTAACAAAGAGCTTAGAAATGAGGGAACTAATGAATTTAGTTGAAAAAACTTACAGATTCGTACTTGCTGCGAATGCTATTGTGGCCGTGTACTGTGTGTTCGAAATGGGAGCGTCTGTGTGGGAAATCTCCAGAGGAGTTACGATTTTCCCCGAAGTTCTTCAAGTCTGGTTCGACTTCGGCCATGACCAGGTCACAAATTTCAATCCCTTCCTTTCCAATTATAAGCTCTCTCTCCCTCCCGCCCCCGCGCGCGTGCTTTAACCTCATTTTTTCCCGATTATCTTCTTCTCTGAGAAATGAGAATGATTGTGGCGGTGGGCTGATCCTGTGTGTGCAGGTATTCGCGTACCTATTGCTCGCGGCGAGTGCTGCGGGGACGTCGATGGCCAGAAGGCTGAGACTAACGGACACGTGTACGGCTAGCAACGCGTTCTGTGTGCAAGCAGACATCGCGATATCCCTGGGATACGCGGCTTTTTTGTTCCTAGGGTTCACGTCCTTGCTCTCCGGCTTCCGGGTCGTTTGTTTCATAATCAACGGTTCACGTTTTCATCTCTGACATTATTTTTCAGGCTGCGTAATCCGCCGAACGGCGTCGTTCCACAAGGAGGAATTTGTTCGGTGGGTCCAGCCCGATGCTTTTACTGTATAGTGTGCCTACCATGTACGCTGTGATTTGCTGGGAAGAAAGCGATAGTTAGGTTAGAGCAGTGAAAATGTTCTTCGCGGGTTATGCTATTTTCAGGCCACATTGTGGGAGAAGTTGCCACTTCCCAGAATCCCGATCATACAGTTCAATTGTCATTTTCAATTTCCACCTGAATTCACATGATTATCATTATTTGTAATTTGATCACCCTTGTTTTTTTTTTTACCAGAATTTGATCACCCTCGTTAACTTTAATTTGATTACCCTTGTTAAATTAGATATTTATAACTAATGTATTAAAAATTTGTAATATTTTCTTATTAAATTTCCATGCAATTATTTCACTATATTTAATCCTTTCCGTTGACTAAGGGGGGAAAAAAGAGCATTTGAGAAAAAATATTTATTGAAAGTGAAAAAGAAAGATAGAATCTTATATTAAAAATCAAACCAAAATTTTCAATAAGGTCTTGCGCACCAATGTTTATAAACATTTAGTAGTGGAAGGAATGCTTCATCAACTTAGGTTGTATGTACTAGTCCATGAAGAAAAAATCATGCCGAATCGGCTAGTTCAACCAGAAAATTAGTGAATCAGCCAATTGTTCGATTTGGTTCAAGTGTCAAACTAGCCAAATATTGAACCAGAATTAAACGGGTGTGCACCGGTAAAAACCAACAAAAACCAGTTATAAATCAGTTTGAATGATTATATTACTATTAGTCCTATTTTTTCTCATCCAACTCCTAACATCTCAGTTAGTAGAATTTTAATGATGATTTTGATATCAATAATTATTAATTTTAGTTATTGAAGAATCGTAAATATCAAAATTTTCAATGTTGTTGTGCTTTGTTATTGTTACAATCAAACTATTGTTATATTTTTTTATATTTTGTTATTAATGATTATTAATGTTATTATATTTTCTTATTTTTAAATAAATTATTATTTTAATATGACCGGTTTAATCTCAAGTTGACCTCAATTTTACTCACTGACCTTTGAACTATTATCTCAACCGGTTCAAGGTCTTGTGACTCTTTTTGTTCCTTGGTATTAGTTTCTTGGACAGGACTGTACCGATGAAAAGAATTTCGCCTGTGTGCGCTTCAGAAAAGTTGAAACAAACACCCTGTTAGCATCATATTGAGCAGCTCTATCTGTAAGTAATCTCCCTTTTTCTCCTCCACGCTCTTGAAAAAAATTACTAGTTATGGAGGATATTTGTAGTACCTTATTCCAAAAAAAAAAAAAAGCATTAATGCTTATATTTTTCGCACTAGTGATTACATATAAGTAACTCCTTTAGGAAATGCCATAGATGAGATGAGATAAGAATATGATTTCGCACTAGTGATTACATATTTTTTTTAAAAAAACAAAAGAAAAGAAAAAGCATATTTTTCTTTTGAATTAGAGGAATAGACTCTAAAATCACTCACTAAAAAGCACATTTTTAAAAAAGGCACACTTTTGCACAAATTAATCATCAGGTGATTACCAAGCCATTAAAGATATACAAATCAGCCAGTGAATGAGCATGAGCTTACACGAGTTATTTTGATCGTAGAAGATGATGCAATGGATTAGATAGCTCACCCAATTGCCTACCCTCCGACCAAGACATGACAGCTCCCTAATGCTAATTATACAGATCAAAAGGCAATATAAGACACAACGCGGAGGGGCAGGCATTTCATGTCATGATCCCTGTTAACTAATCATGATCAACTTGCAACAATATACGAAGATTGGACTCATTAATGAAACAGCAACTGTTCCTGATGTAGACAAATTTCCAAACAAGTTCGAGTTTTGAAAATGTTTGTGTAGTAAATCTTCCTAAAAGTGTGTTTACAGTAGACGAGGGGAAGAAACTCTAATATTTTCTTTCTATTCATGCCCAAAAGGGGAAGAACTAAAACGTTCATCTAGATGTGTCTCTACTGGTAACAGTGACAAATTCGGTGCCCACATTAAGGGATTTCTGGTCAAATTCCGGAACTTTCATGAAAATTTGTATCCGTAACTGCAGCTGGGAATTAACTGAAATCACTGATCAATCAATTTACATCAGTCTTGAATTCATCCAACAAATTAAAAACAAAACGAAGATAAGTGGGGGAAAATGGGTGCTCTACAGAAATAACAAGCAAGCAAATCCGGCTGGAATATAGGCAGTCTATAATGGCAGACCACATCCTCCCATGACTTCGGCTGATTCTCCACCAAACTTCTATCCAAACTCCTAATCTCAAGCCTATATGGACCTGCAACATCATGAAATAGCATCCATATCATTCTCAATGAAATTTCCATTCTAAGCAGAAAACAAACCATAGTCAGGACAAGGCAACAGCACAAGAGCGTCCATTCCATTCTACTATGCAGCTAATTGTATTTTTTTATTTCTTAAGGCAACTCTAGCTGAGGATTCACATTTTAACCCAGTTTGGCATAGTCTGAGTTCTACACTTCCATGAAGAGCTGCTTCTTAACTATATCTCTTAATTTCCCACCTCAAATAATACACAACTAAAAAGCATAAAACCAAAAGTTAAGTTGGTTTAAGGAGCAAAATAAGGGATTTCATTCAAATCCCCTATCCAGTTCAACTTCACCTATCCGGAATTAGATTATCCACTTGTCCTTGTTTCAGCCAGAGTTTTCCCGCGGACCCTAGTGGATGTGCCAGTCCAGATACATCCAGGGTAACACGGAAAATAAAGCATAAAGTAACTTAGGACGTTTACAAAACCAAAATCTCAGATCAATTTCAACGAGTTAGGTTGGTTCCAATGAGATCATGGACGAATGGCGACCTAAATAAATTTCACAGGAACCTATAGCTTAGATTCCTACCAAATTTAGTATATGCCAATTAAGTAATTCTAGAAACGGAAATACCTTGACATTCTAAATAAGGTTAGTATGCAAAGTTATCTCCAAACAGATTAGATTAATTATGCATTCCATTCATGCCGTCATCCCCCAAGCCCATGAATGTACTTCAAAATATGCAAACCATAAAAACCTAGAGACAGTACGTGAAACTTGGTATTAAGCTTTTCTATGATCTTATTTGTTTTTAAATGTGCTCCATTTTAGCTCATTGTATTTTCCTAACCAACTAGGCAACTACTAACTGCAAATCCAATAATGCACTCAAAGTACTGAAAGGGCATATATTGAAGTTATTGAACACAACACTTAGCCATAGATTTTTCAATTACCTTCAATTAGCATATATGAGAAAAAAGCATACATCCATAACATATTTATCAGGAATCATCCAAGAACCATTAAGATGGTCAATTCAAACGTTTGTAAGATGGTCCATATTGCAGCATGGCATGGCACACATCAAATTTATAAGGCAATATGAATTATAACAAAGTGCACTATAAACATCTGTATAAGTGTTATACGTTTATACTGGGAATAAATAAATGGCCAATCATTAATTTGACATTCTAAAACAATAGACAAGGCATTTAGTTGCCACATACAAACTATTGCACATGTATTAGAAATAAATTAAATAGTCACCTAGAAGTATTGCCCTGCCATGTACAAACTATGTGGGAATGACAACGTGAGAACTAAAAAAACAAAATTATTCAATTTGGTTCTTGCTCGCATTTGCTGGTACTGAACAAGTTCAATATAAAATCCTTTCCAATCCCAACTTGATAAGTGAAAACTTGCAACTCCAAATTTCAATACCGGAACGATAAGGCAGCACAGAAAAAAGGGGTAAGTTGCATCAGGTAAAATTTCAGAGTGTGAAGAGGTACATTCATTCTCAAAGCGATCATCATATTCCAATAAATTGGAGTCCCAATTACCTAATAGTATCCAAAAACATATTTATTATTTTCTTTGAATTGTTGACCATGTTTCACGGTTTTAATGCCAGAAAATAATCCATACAGGCAAGATTACAAACGCCCTTCCATCAAATCAAACACTTGACCATTTGCGCGTAAACAATTACTGTTACATCCCATCCTTTTCATTTCTTTTTTTGTTAGTGCATGAAGCCTAGATCACCACGAAATCACTAACGGTTCGTAATAAATCACAACAAAACTTCTTGTTATTCGTGAGAACGCCAAGACTGGGTCAGTTTATTCATCATATTGTTCATTCACTGAGCCAAATACAAACAGTAATCTCATACTAATCCGCAAAACTAGAAACTAATCAAGGCCTAGCTCACCATGGTTTTAGATTTTAGAGCACTTTCAGCATATCCTCTGCACCACTGAATGTGAACGCACCACCTTCCTCCAAGTTCAAGACCTTCACAACACCATCCTCAGCCAGAAGAGCGTACCGCCTAGACCGCACACCCAATCCAACAGGCTTGTCACTCAAATCGAGCTCGCACCCAATCGCCTTGGTGAACGTCCCGTTGCCGTCTGACAAGAGAAGCACCTCGTCGTTGACCTTCAAGTTTTCCTTCCACGCCTTCATCACGAAGGCGTCATTGACCGAAATGCAGGCGATTGTATCGACGCCTTTCGATTTGAGCTCGGCGGATTTCTCGACGAAGCCCGGAACGTGCTTCTGGGAACAGGTTGGGGTGAAGGCGCCGGGAACAGCAAAGAAAATGGCCTTCTTGCTCTTAGTGAGTTCGGAAACGGTGACGGTCTTGACATCGCCGGCAGGGTCGAGGAAGGAAAAGGTGGCTTCGGGGAGCTTGTCGCCGACGGAGATGGTGGCGGAAATGGTGGATTTGGTAGTGAAAGAAGCAGCGAGTGGGAGAGAAATAGGGCGGCGATGGTTGAATTTGAGGGATGAAGGCGTAATAGAGAATTTAGAAGAGAGGGTGGATGAAAATGCTTTGGGAGGGAGGCGAGATGAGGTGGCGGTGGCGGTGGAAGTTGCGGTGGTGGAGAGGAGCCGGGAGAATGTGATAGATACGGCCATGGGAACTTTGAGAGCAGATTTTTGGGTGAGGAGTGAGGGCTGTGGAATGATGGGTGAGGAGAGGCTGAAGAGACGACACTCGCGGGGGAGAAGGAGAAGGCCTCGACGGCTTGGCTGATTGCGATGCCTGGATCCTCCCTGCTTGCTGCGCTCGCGTGTATTGTACTTGGAGTAGGGATAAGACAAAACAGCACTGCAAGGACTGAAGAAATGCTCCTATCCCTAGCGGGAGAAGATTTTTTATTTGAAAAAAATGATACAAAAATAATACTTAAACTTAAAAATATTAAAATGGTTTTTTAAATTTATAAAATTTTAATTTAGTCACGAGTAATTAATTTAACATTTATAAATTTACTGAAATGATCATATTACCTTTTATTTTATTTATTATTTTAAAAAATCAAAGTCCTGATTGGCCAGCTGACCGACTGGAAAAATTTTTTTTGAAAATTTTTACAATTTCAGTGTAACGGTTAATAACTTTTGTAATGCTATTAACAAGTTTAGTATAACAGTTAACAACAAGTTTTTTAGAAAATTCAAAAAGTAGCATTTTTACAACTTTAGTAATGTCTTAACAAGTTCTGTAACTGTATTAACAACAGGTTTTTTTAAAAAATTTAAAAAAATAGTATTTTTACAACTTTAGCAACTACTCTCTTTTGAAAATTTTTATAATTTCAGTATAACAAATAATAGTTTTTGTAACGCTATTAACAATTTCAGTATAACAGTTAATAACAGATTTTCTAAAAAATTCAAAAAGTAGCATTTTTACAATTTCGATAATGCTGTTTACAAGTTTCGTAACGCTATTAACAAATTTAGTATAATATTTAATAACAAGTTTTCTTAAAAATTAAAAAAAAAAAGGCATTTTTATAACTCCAGTAACACGATTAACAAGTCATGTAATAATAATAATAATAATAATAACAACTCTCATAGATATTGATGTTTTTAATATTAGCTCCCTATGAAAGTTGTACAACAAATTTTTTTCACTTATTAGATAGCCATTATGGTCATGAGAGTTGTTAATATCATTACATGACTTGTTAACCGCATTATTAAAGTTGTAAAAATATTGCTTTTTGAATTTTTTCGGAAAACCTGTTGTTAACTATTATACTGAAATTATTAATAGCATTATAAAAGTTGTTAACTGTTATACTGAAGTTATAAAAATTTTCAAAAAAAAGTAATTGCTAAAATTGTAAAAATTCTATTTTTTTAATTTTTAAGAAAACCTTTTAGTACCTGCTATACCAAAGTTGTTAATAGAATTCCAGAACTTGTTAACGATATTACTGAAATTGTAAAAATGCTACTTTTTTAATTTTCTGAAAAATCTGTTGTTAACTGCTATACTGAACTTGTTAATAGCGTTACAAAAGTTATTAACCGTCATACTGAAATTGTAAAAAATTTTAAAAAAATTGTTTTCGATCAACGGAGCTCAAACAACCAATTGTCGACGAATCACCGAAGCTCTAGCGACCGACGGGGCACTGGGGGCTTTAGTTTTTCAAAAAACAATAAATAAAATAAAGGACAATATAGTTATTTTAACAAATTTATAAATGTCAAATTGGTCACTTGTTACTAAATTAGAATTTTACAAATTCAAGTGACTATTTTGGTATTTCTAAGTTCAAGTATTATTTTTGTGTTATTTTTTTATTTTGGTCAAAAACGGAAGAAGGTTTTCATGATGCTACAAGTTACTTTATTAAATTTTCAATTAAAAGTAATGTTTTGTTTTGTTTTTTGGGCCTTGAAGTAGAGCTGATAATATGCGAACTCAACTCGCCAAGAAGTGGGGGATTGAGTTGATGAAAATTAGACTTGTTTTAAAACGGATTTTTTGAGCCCGTAACCTCAAAGACCAAACCCATGACAGGCTAACCTGAAAGGTTGGCGGGCTAACCTGTTTTATTTTATTTTAAATTTTTTCTTCCCTTCAATACAATTATGTTTACTTCTTTAGTCCTTTATCTCATTCTCATTATTTAAAATTATCATAATATAATATATCTTTCACTTTGTATTCTGAACTTTATTTGTGGCAAAGTTAGTTGAGCAAAAAGATTACTTATCAAGCTCAAACAAATAATTTCACATTTTCATACCATTCTTCGACCTATATCAACATTGAATAATGGTTCATGATTGAGCATTTGATAGTGATTTGTAATATTGTGTTTGTGTTAATGTTGATTTAGGTTTGTTATGTTTTAATTTGGAAAGTATATTTAATCTTTTAGGATGATGTATCATATATGCTTAATATTTTGAAATGTTTGGAATTTTGGATTTCATATTTTATTTATGGTAATTTCTATTTATATATTTTATTTTAGGTGTTTAAAAATTGGAATATATTTTATTAAAAGAAAACAAAAGGCACAAAAAATAAAAAATAAAAAAATATTTTTAAAGAAAAAAAAAAGTTGGCGGGTTGGTAGGCCTAACCCACCAACTCATCCTGCGCGGGCTAGGTTGATAAAATATCAGGCTGCTAGAAGTCAGTCCTTGAGCCCACCTCGGGCCAACCCATAACCAGTGGGTTTGCCTGCATTACCGACTCTACCTTGAAGTACTTTATTTTTTAAATAGTTATTTTTTTGAAAATTAATATATATGGTAAATAATCATTAAATTTAAAAGTTGTTATATTTTAATAAAAAATTAATGCAGATTTAGTCTGTGCGAAACATGTTAAAAGTACCTTATAAATGGGACGGGATGAGTAAATAATACTAGCTTTGGTACTTAATATGAGTTAGTTGACTAATTTTAATAAATTAAGAAAATTAGTTAAGTTAATTATTTGTAATAAATAGGTATTGTCTTTTCTAAAATATATTTACTAATCATATATATTAGTTAGAATTATCATTTAATGAAATATTTAACATGTACAACTATTACAACGATTATATTGGAAAAAAATGGATAAATCTAAGAGATGAAATGGATTGTAATCTTATATTTAGAACCAAATTAAATGTTAAACTAGTTCTTATACTAAGGATTCAATATAGTAAATAATTTAGACCCAACATAGTAAATAATTTATGTCATATTACTATTTAGAATTTAGCATTTACCGTATTACTATTTAGTTAGATTATTTAATTATATTTTAAAATAAAATTACAGCCTGATTATTTTTATACTTGCTGTATTTTTTAACAGTTCAATGCTTATATTTTATGATACAAAACCATTTAAATTAATTAAATAAATTTTTATGTTTTGCAAGCGTTCTTTCTGGTAATTTTTTTTTAGGGTCTTTCCTTCTTGTTGAAGAGTACTTTAATTTAATTCAAGAATTGGCAGTGCTAAGTAAAAAGTATTACTTTTTTTAATTTATAATTTATTTTTCAAAATATACTCATTTATTGCATACTAGGAGAATATCTATTAAGAGATAATTATAATATAGCTAATTAAAGAGAGTATTCTAGCAAAACCAACACACATTTATTACATATATCTAACTTAACTAATTTTTTAATATTCATAAATTAGTTATGTAGTTATTATATTAAAGATTGTCTTAGCTTAATTAATTTTCTATCTTGGTTTAAAAAAAATCCCTGACCATTGTGACAACTAATTTTTAATATTTATAAATTTTTTATCTAACTTTTATATTGAAAACTGTCTTCACCTAATTAATTTTCTATCTCAGTTTAAAAAATTCTTGACCATTGTGATGTGCACTTCTTCTATCCATAGTACCTAAACTAGTCTCATGCACGTTTCTATTTTCTTGATAGTGTCATTAAGAGGGTAGATTTTATATCTTTTCGGTGCCGGCACTAAAACATTGAAAAGTAAACATTTAAAAAAGATAACAAAAATGACAAAAAAAAAAGTCTTTGATTATATTTGAAAACTTATCTTCGCATGAATTTAATATATTTAGGAGTATAGTAATATAACATAAGAAACAAAATTAAAAATTTATGAATAAGTAAAAAAAGAAATAGCGAGAGACCACACTAATTGCAGTGGGATGCTTTATATTGTATGAAATTTTTTTATTAGTCAATAGCATCCTTCTTGTGACTTTAATGACTTGTTTGGTAGGAGGAAATCAGAGGGGAGGAAAAGGAAAATGAGGAATTTTGGTTCCCTTTGGCTTTATAAAATTTGTAGGAGGGAAGGAAAATTTTTTTAAAGTTTCCCCTCTCCTCCCCTCCTAACCCTCTCCGCTAAAATTAGGGAGATTTAGGGTCTGTTTGGCTCAATAAGAGAAAGGAGAAGGGAAGGTTTTTAATAGAAAGAAAAGGAGGGGAGGAGAGTGGAATGGTTTTAATATTACCTTATTTGGATTTATAAAAAAGAAAGGGAGAGGAGGAGTTTTAATATTACCTTGTTTGATTCATAAGGAGAAGGGAGGAAAAATATTTTAACATGGACAATTTCACCCTTATTTTATTTAAGATATAGACATAATGATCATCACATAACAAAATATGGGTATAATAGTTACAACATGACAAAATATTATCATTTCCTCCCAAATTCTCCCAATTTTAGAGGGGAGGGGACGAAAAAAATTTTAAAATTTTCTCTCCCCTCCTAAAATTTGTGTGTTGCCAAATAAAAGAAAATGAAATCATTTCCCCTCCCTCCCTTCCCCTCCAAATCCTTCGTACCAAACACATTCTTAGAGAGGAGTGGTAATATTTTGCCTTGTCATGACCAATATATATATGCTTATATTTGATGTTTCCAAACTATCCATCCCTTTCTCCCTCACTTTTTCCACATCTCCATTATTTATTATTAAATTGCTTTTAGTTTTGACCAATCTTTTGTCTCAATAAAATTTTTTATTGACAAAAGATGCTGTGAACTGTGGATGATAAACAGAAAAATAAGCTTTATTTTTTATTATTTGTAAATTTTTTATATTTTATATAACATATATGAATGCAAAATATTCCAGTCACAAGGCCAGAGAATATTTTTTTGGGACACAAAATGACGCACCTAGAAAGAAAGCAAGGCCACTTGTCTTATAGAGTTAGATATTAATTGTCTGTTATAATTATATTTATTTAATTTTAATAATTATAAAATTATAATTTTATATAGTAAATGTCATTTATAATTCTATTTAAAACAAATTAAATAAAATAAGGGTAAAACTGTTTATACAAAAATATTTTTCCTCTCCTTTCCTCCTGAACTAAATAAGATAACATTAAAATCTCTGTCCTTCCTTTCTTTCTAATCAATTAAAATAAGATAACATTAAAATTTCTCTTCTCTCCTCACCTTTACTTCTCTCCATTAAAATCCATCTCCTCTCCTTCCTTCTGTTGAACCAAACAGATCTTAAGAGCTTGATTGGCTTGATTGGTGTGAGAGGAGAGGAGGGGAGGGGGTAAGAGGGATTTGACTCCCCTCTCTTTGTTTGGATTGCTAAAAATTTTTGAAAGGGAGGAAAAAAAATCTTAAAGATTTTTTCTTCTCTCCCATCATAACTCTGCCCTCCTAATTGGAAAACTTCAAAGAGAAAGAGTAATATTTTAGCTTACTTTAGCTAATATGTTTGTAACTAGTGTTTAATATTTTCATATATGCGTATAAAAAATAATAACTGTTATACTCTTATCAAATCATAAAATATCCCTCCTCTCCTTCTCTTTCCTCGTTAATCCATATAAGATAATATTAAAATTCTTCTCTTTCTTTTCCTTTCCTTTCCTTCCCATCTTTTGAACCAAGCACATGCTAAGTCGTTAGTATATCTTCATGCTATACATGTGAAAAGAAGATGCTACTAATTCAGTAGCTTGTGCCAGTTATGTGCTCGCCATCAAGACTGTTCGTCCATGGAGATGGATGGGAGGGACCGATGAGTGATGACGCGAGTTAGTATTTCTCATTTTATATAAAATAAATGTTTTCCTCTCTGATCGCGTCTTTGCTAGTTTGCTCTCCCTCTCCCGTTGTTTACTCTCTATAGCCTTAATTTAGGTGCTCATCACTTTGATTAAAAGATTATGAGATCTGAATATTTCACATCTAATTTGAATGTTCAATTTTTTGTGTGTCTATTTGTTTAAAATAAATATTTTAATTGATATAAAATTTAAAATAAAAATAATCTTTTAACTATTATTTTTTTAAAAAATATTTTTTATTTAAAAATAATTATTTAAAAATTTTAAATCTGAACCGTTCAAATCAGATCTAGATGGTCTAGATCTGATGAGCTTATCTTTAGATGTGTCTACATGATTAATTTTCTAATGAGGTATTTTTGGCAAATTTTTCCTTAAAAATAAAAGTGAATAACCAATAACAACAAAAAGTTATACAGCCAAAATTTTATATATGTTCAATTTTCGGCTTGCCCTTGCCCCACCAATAAATGATGGAAGCAAAAGCTCCAATAACGAAGAAACATGTAGCCGCAGTGTCCCAAATTCTGTCAACCCACAACAACCTTCGACTTGACTTCCCTGAACCATTTCTCACTTTTGGACATCACCAAATGACTAAGTGAACGGGACGTTCTTGTGTCCATACAATTTCACTCGATAATTTTCTGATCCATGGTCCCTCTTGTTCCTTCCGTATGGGAGATAAAAGGGAGTGTTTGGCAACCTCCAAACTATAGTTTTAGAAGTACTTTTCCGTAAAACGAGACAAATTCCTCTATATATTTACTGTGTAAATCGTAAAAGCACTTTTAAAACTATGGTTTGGTTTCTATCCAAACACCCTCAAAATCTTAAGTTTTATCTTTAAATCTTTATTTTTTCACAGAAGACAACTTGAGAATCTGGAAAAAAAAAGAAAAAAAGCAAGCAGTTTCAGATTATATCACATGAGCGATATGAGGGATTCATAATTCAACAAGGAAAAGTGTCTTCTTTTTGGGGTTCACACAAGAACACAACCCAGAGTGTAAACACAAGTTGCTTTGAAAATGTGGCTGGAAATTGAAGAGAGAGAACATTATCTCTCTCTCATAAAAAATTACACATTATTATTATTATTATCAGTATATTGTTGTGGGGGAGAAGAGAAGGTCATTTAATTGAGTTGTTAAGGAGCTATGGAATTATCAAACCTGTGCAGGTGAAACCTTTATTGCAATTTGTACTATTCTAATCCCGCTTTCCGACCATTCCACCGACAATCACTATGAATTCACAAACACCTCACAAACTCTAATGAGTCTCTCCTCCTTGACTTTGTGCCCTCATCATCCCACTATTAATATGCCCTCCATCTCCATTATTCGTACTAAAACTTGAACCTTTTCTTTCCCTTTCTCTCTTTGTTTGATCTCCACGCGTCAGCATGGTACAATCAAAGAAGTTCAGAGGAGTAAGGCAGCGCCAGTGGGGCTCTTGGGTGTCAGAAATTCGCCATCCTCTGCTGTAATCACCACTTCCTTGTTTATTTATGGTTCTCTTATATTCATTTCATGTACATTAATAACTAGTCCCGTTTCCTACCGTTAAGACTCTGGATTCTGATATATATTTCTCTCTGTGTCTGCGTATGTTGCAGAAAGAGAAGGGTGTGGCTGGGGACATTTGAGACGGCAGAGGCAGCAGCGAGGGCATATGATCAAGCAGCCATTTTGATGAATGGTAGAAATGCAAAGACAAATTTCCCAGCTCCATTGAATGAAGCTGAAGATGGAGGAGGGTCTTTCTTGTCTCCCAAGGCTCTCTCAGAGCTGTTATCCACAAAGCTTAAGAAATGCTGCAAGGACCCATCTCCTTCCCTCACTTGTCTCAGGCTTGATTCTGATAATTCTCACATTGGTGTGTGGCAAAAGAGACCAGGACCTCGCTCGGATTCCAATTGGGTCGTCAGGGTAGAGCTTGGCAAGAAACAAGCACAGCAAGGTGATGATAAAACTGCTGCAGACGCCATTAGCAGTGAAGCTGCAAGCGAGGTGGAAGATGAAGAGGCAATGCAGATGATTGATGAGCTTCTTGATTGGAACTATCCGTGTGATTTCTCCAGTAGCCCTTAACAGCAAAAAGATAACCTTACCGTCTCAGAATTCTTGAATTAGAATGCCCAGTTTCTGCTTTCTTTTGTTAATTTACTCTAGTCTTCTTTGGAAGAAAAAAAAGATGACAGTGAGACTTTTAATGGCAGTTCTGATATAGTCTAGTAAAGTACAACATGAATGAGTCTTGGATATGTAGGGCTATCTATCTGGAAGATACTGTAGATTATGGACAAAGTGCTTGGAATAACACGAGCCTCAGGCACTATTTTCTGCAGCCAAAGTCCTCATAGTTGAGGACAGTTCAGAGCTTGTTTTTCCTAATCGGGTTCACCTGTAGATCTGTGATTCATAATTGAGGCAAACAAAAGGACTGGAAATTGCCAAGTTGCCTACTCTCATCCTTTTTTCTGCCTTTGATCCTTCTGCCTATGGCACGCTGTCAATAATTAAAAGTTCCCCGTTCCTTTTCCAATATCCATGTACCAAGCATTTGCTTTAATGCTTGTCCATCATGATTAATCAGTGGGGCTTATAAATTGGCCATTCTCGTAGTAACATTTATAACCCGTGCATTAATGGGCCCTGAAATAACTCTTTCACTGAATGTGAAGAACTTTATGTTCAACTATAAAAATATAAAGTCTGCTGGAATCCTCACTCTATCTTCAAGATTTCTCTCGTAAATTTTCACTGTTCAATATGCATTAAAGTGCTTTGGCCAAAAAAAAAATGCATTAAAGTGATCTGACTCAAAAATTAATCCATAACGAATAGGCAGGGCACTTGATTGCTAGCAAATCGAAATTATGCGGTGGATAAATCTTCCACTTATGTTTCAATCATCGTGTACATGAAAGGCAATAAGTCTCCTTGAAAAGTCTTTCTTGAAAGATGATAGAACCGATGAGTTCAGGAAATCCGATGGCATGTTGGATCATAATACAGAATAGATAAGCAATAAGGCTTCAGATCATTGGGTTTGCCATTTAAAGAACTCACCTACCCCCAAAACACAAACATAAATAAATAATGTTCTCTTCCTTTACTAACTATCAAGCAATTAAAACTTAGTACGCGTGGCCCTGATATGCTGAATCCATTATTGGCTTTCTTCCTTGTTTACAGAATGGGTCCTTTCCTTTCTTTAGATAGACTCTCTCTCACAAATGATCCACTAAGCCTGAGGTTCAAGAAAGGATGAATCGAAATCCTTGCATGAAGATTGCTGACATATAAAGAACAAGGACAAAGAATGAACAAGCTGATTAAGTTTCTAATATGAACAGAAACACAAGTTTATGAACCAAAAGAAAGAAGGGAATTGTACCGGAACTGAGTGCGAAAATAACATGAGTTTGGAAATAGACACATGGTAGGTACGTTATTTTCAAAGTTGTTATGACAGCAATTAAATGGTGTCCTGTAATTTTAAATTTCACAGATACACCAACCGAAAAGGGAATGGCTGTAGAGCCTTCCATTGTTGAAAACGAATGAAAGTTGCCTAATATATATAAACATATAAGAAGAAGAAGAAGGCAGAAAGCAAAAAAAAAAAAGAAGATATCATGCAAACTTGCAATCTCTCTTGACAATTTACAACTGTGCTACTACTGCTACAAATGATGCAAAGTCAGCTGTCAGTTTCCTAGCACCAAAGTTACAGTGGTCTGCTTTTATTGTGGTTTTGTTAACTTCGACAATAAGTTGGCTTGGCTTCTACAATACCATAAAGCAGAAATTGACATGAAAAGAGTGATAAGCCTTCTAATTGGGTTTCAATAAATACTCTGCTTCAAGCATCAAGGAGGCACAGTACAAATCAAGGCAAAGACTTGTTATTTGTAGCAAATATATATTTTTCTAAATATATCTCTATATATAAATGGATAGATGTGAGAAAGTAACAGTGAAATAAATGAAAAAAGAGAATATATTAAACGTATTAAACTAGAGATAAAATAGGTAATAATGCATTAAATGTTCAGATAAATTCAAAATGGATCTTATAAAAAAAGACAAACATATTCAAAAAATTAGATCTTATAATAAAAGACAGAGAGAGTATTTCTGTAATCACCGTTTCACAGTAATCAAGAAAATTTTTAGATCTCATTAATATTACTTTAAAACTAAATAATTTTTCAATTTTAACCATATTTAATATACACTTTCGAAAAAATAAATCTACACAGTAATAAATAAACAGTAAAAGAGTATATTTATATTATAAATTTTAATGGTATCTCTTCTTCCTACTTCATAAATAAGATTATAAATAGGAACAGACAAGTATTATAATGCAAAAGGCAAAGGAATAGTCTGTGTCACTTACAGAGCAGCATGCCTCATGTCCTTTCATTATAGTTGTGAAAATGATCCAAGAATGTAATATGAGAAGAAAATTAATGGTAAAATTAATGAATAAGAATTTTTGGGTTTTAACTAGGTGTTTGAATGGTTTTTATCAAAACCATGATCTTCTCTGCAAAACAATCGTGTTAAGAAGTATCCAGACGCCCGGAAAATTGTCGTTGTTGTGAAGGTGAGAACATGTAAATATCTTCAAAGAATCATCATGGCAGCTATTTTGAGCGCGATTACAATTTGTTTCAACAAACCGCAAAAGTAGAGAGCGAAAGATAGAAAGAAAGGATGATAGTGACGGTGAGACTGTTAACAAACAGATGGGAGTCCTAGAAATGATCGAAATTAAGAGATTAAGAAGGAGGCGAAGAAGGATTAAGGATAAGGAAAGATTTATACCTCGACGGTTGGATTGCCACGGCTGTCGAAGATCTGCCTTGCCTTGATGCTTTGGGTGGTACTGGTATCTATAGATCTGAAGTGAGTGAAAGATGAAGAACAATTTCGTAGCTAAGATATAGCATTGATTAGATGTCGAAAGAAAATAATTAATGTAAACACATAGATATTAATTTCTATTATGAATGCCTCTGAGTTATGAGGATTTATGATGGGTGCTTTGGATTCACTTCAGTAGATAGTCATGTAAAAGTTTGAATGGAATGTTCTCATCTATCTTACTTTATTTTTATTTCTTTTTAAGAAATGGTTTTTGTGCCAGAAACATCTTTGATAACGGTGTTTGATTACTACAGGTAGATTTGACATGCAGCGGTGGTACCTTTTCTTAAGCTGCCGTTCCCAGCGGTGCTGCCACCGATATGCTTCACTTTTCTGGCATCTGGTTTACCACTTGTCTGGGTCGTGTTGGTTTTTGACAGTGCGCTGGCTTGCCTGCTCTTTTCCCCGTTATATGAACGGAAATTGTCTTTCTACGGTCATCTCTATTGATCTGCGATGTTAGAGACTCCGGAAATGTTTGAAGTGTTTTTCATTTTAATTTTTAATTTCAAACTCGTTCTGTTCAAACACTTTATAGCCCTTGACACTGGTCATTTTGGATACGCACTTTTTAAGAAATGGTTTTTGTGCCAGAAACATCACGTAGATGAGGAGAGGTTTTAAGCGAAAAATGAACCGACCCCGTAAGGCATCACAAATGGGAAGGTGCGCTGCTCTTGTAGTTCTTCGAAAGTTGCATGGATCACTCAGAAAAGACCTCTGCAATTCCATACATGTTCCACTTTCCCTTTGCTTCTGCTCCGAAACTGTTTCAGAGACACCTGCTGAAACCCACCATACCCCAATAAATGAGCCTTCCGGAGAATTTAATAATCAATCCGATTCACAAGAACAAGAACGGCTTGAACAAGTTCGTGAGTTTCAAAATTTACTTGAAAAGGGCCGCGGTCATGCTGTCCAAAGGTTCATCAAATCCCTGGTTCTCTCTAAAAACCCATTTTGTTCTCCCTTGGACCTGCACGACTACTTCTCCCTCTCAGCACCCTCCTTGAAACCCCTTTTCTCAAATTTGCTTTTCCGGGCTTGCTCCGAGTCCGAGATGGTCGATGAAGCTATGGAGTTATACTACTTGATGAAGAAAGACGGTATGCTTCCTTCGACAGGTTCGGTGAATCGGTTGCTCGAAACTTTGATTACTTTGAAACAGTATAAGAAAATTCTTGATCTATTCCCGGAATTTGTGGAGTCTGGCATTCAACCCAACACTTTCTCATACGGCAAAGCTGTTCAGGCTGCAGTGATGCTGAAGGACTTAAAAAGGGCTCTCGAATTGATCAATGACATGGAGGAGGGAGGAGTGAGCCCCTCTTCGTTTATTTATAACCTGGTAATAGGTGGGTTGTGTAAAGAGCGGAGAATCACAGATGCTCACAATCTGTTTGATGAAATGATCAAAAGGAAGCTGGTTCCGAATTTGGTTACTTATAATACGCTGATTGATGGATACTGCAAGGTGGGAGAGATAGAGAGAGCTTTGGCTTTGAGGGAGAGGATGAGGGTGGAAAATGTGGAGCCTAATCTTGTCACGTACAATTCTATGTTGAATGGTCTTTGTGATTCACAGAGGATGGCAGAAGCGAGGTCATTGTTGCAAGAGATGGAGGCTAACAAGTTTTTGCCGGATGGATTCACTCAAATTATATTTGATGGTGTTTCAAGTGGAAATAATAATGGTTTGTTGGACAAAGGGGAGATGATCAACGAGTATACTTGTAGTATTTTGTTGGATGGATTATGCAGAGCGGGTATGGTTGAAAAGGCCAAGGAGGTTTTGACCAAACTAACAGAGAGTGGATTTATACCAAGTAAGATAGTGTACAATGTGTTAGTGAATGCATACTGCCAAGCGGGTCACATAGAGAAAGCCATACTGACAATTGAGCAAATGGAAGAACGTGGGGTGGAGGCTAGCTATGTGACGTTCAATACCCTCATTAACAAGTTCTTTGAAATAAAGGAGGTGGACCAGGCAGAGAGATGGTTGAAGAAGATGGCAGAGAAGGGTGTTTCCCCAAGTTTGGAGACTTATAACATTTTAATTAATGGTTACGGCTGCATGAGTCAATTTGAGAAATGTTTCCAGATTCTCGAGGAAATGGAAAAGGCAGGGATAGAGCCTAGTGTCTTGAGCTATGGTCTTCTGGTAAATTGCTTATGCAAAGGAGGCAAGCTTCTTGAAGCGGAACTGATCCTTGCGGATATGGCAAACCGAGGGGTTTCTCCAAACGCAGAAATATATAATATGCTCATTGAAGGTAGCTGCTCAATGGGCAAAATGACAGACGCCTTGAGACTTTTTGAGGAAATGGTTAAAAATGGACCAGCTCCAACTCTTGTGACATACAATACGCTCATATATGGGCTCGGAAAAGATGGAAGGATAACAGAAGCTGAGGAGTTTTTCCAGCAAATGGGTAGCAATGGATACAATCCAGATGTAATCTCATACAACTCCTTGATCTCAGGATATGCTAGGTCAGGTGACACCCATAAATGCCTTGAATTGTATGATAATATGAAGAAAGTGGGCATAAAACCTACAGTTAGGACGTTTCATCCTTTGATCAATGCAAGCATCAAGGAAGGGGTTGTGACAGCAGAGAGGCTGTATCAGGAAATGTTAGAAATGGGTTTGGTTCCAGATCGAGTTGTATATAATGCGATGATTTGCACTTACGCTGAAGAAGAAGGGAATGTTGAGAAGGCAATGTCTTTGCACCGACGGATGGTTGAGCAGGGGATTAATTCGGACAATGTAACTTATAACAGCTTAATTTTGGTATACCTTGCGGATAAAAGGGTGTTGGAAGTAAAGCATCTTGTTCATGACATGAAGGCCAAAGGAGTGGTTCCAAAAGCTGATACATATAACATACTGGTGAAGGGATGTTGCAGTGTGAAGGATTTCAATGAGGCGTACTTTTGGTATAAAGAAATGTCTGACAGAGGCTATTCCCTAAATGAACGCATCTGTTATCAACTTATTTCTGGACTTAGTCACAAGGGTATGCTACAAGAAGCTCAAATCGTTTCCTCAGACTTGAGTTGCAAGGCATAAAACGTAGTACAAGAGAGGATTTGCATTTTAATAGGTCCAACTCGTCTCCTCACCATTGAATCGCCAAGGCAATGGCTTCTGCTACCTTAGTATTTTCAGGAGCATAATTAAATTTGTATGCTGACCTTCCAACATTAAGGTGCTTAGTCAACGTAGTTAAAGGTGCTTTGGCAAGATATACAGATGCTTTCACAAAGACATTTAACATTTTTATCTGTGTTAGAATTTAACTTAGACGGGATCAAGTGATTACTGGCAGAGCCCAATTCGTTATAACCTTATTGGATTATATTTTTATCTTCTTCAATGATGATGACTACTTTAATGGTGCTTTTAATGTTTGCACTTGATATCTCTGTGTGTCTGTAGTTTTTATGGTGCTTTATTTTAGTGTTTGTATTTTACACAAGCATAGCTATTATTCATTTGAACCTGCAGCGATGATATAATTAATTCCATTTTGTGATTTAGCTGGCATAGACCAATATTACTTGCTTGGGCATTATCAGACAAGCACCTGATTAAAATGTGACAGTGCAACCAGCTTGCAAGAACTATCAATGTTGCCACTTTGTGGGGTAATTATCATCAACCATGACCTTCCGCTCTCCATCTCTTCTATCTGTCAGTCTACTTGAGAAGTAGTATTAGGCATTCGTTTTTTCTTCCTGTTTAAAATTATGATATTTTTATGTATTTAGGCATTTGTAGGACTAGGAAATCACATGATATCATCGAGAGGGATGATATCATCCCGTGAACACAATAAGTTATATTTAAAATTTGAAATTGTCTGATATAGCTAAGAAATCACGTTGAACGCAATAAGTTATTGATGTGAGCAACAGGGGACACTTAATGTGTCTGCTATCAGACCCTTATAGGGTTCACTGTTCAAAATAAAGATCCCTGTATACACAATGAGAAACAAGGGACACTAGCAACCTTGTGATCCTGTGCATTCACTAAAATTTATCATAGCGTCTGATATTGAAAACCAATGAACACAATAAATTGTGATTCCAATAGGGTTCGCGTGAAGGTCGATTCTGCATTAGACAATCACATGATATGACAATTTAAAATTTAAAATAATCATTTAAAATCATGTACACCAGATAATATCATGTCTTAATCTTTCACGTGAGCAATATATTAAAAGAGATACACAGACCATCGTATATGAATGTTATCCATGTATAAAATCTAATTAGGTACTAGATTATTGTGTGTGTGGCAATCATCTTCAAAGTGCTTAAACAGATATAACCACAATGCATTCATGTGATAAAAAACTGAACAGGATCCGATCTATTAAATAATGGTAAAAAATATATGTACATATCATTATCAGTACAAGTACCTAGGTAAGAATATATAAGATTCTACCTTTGTTATATCAGGGTAATTATTGAATCCTTATCATATCTTCTACCTGGCAAGAGAATCAGTTGAAGTCCTAATTTGCAAAGATTCTTCAAATTAATATAACAATCCCAGTTACTTGAAACACTAGTAAAACATCTGAATCAGTCTACTGTTGCTTCCTTTAAGTTGGTTTTCTTGTCCAAACATCTCTAGTCTTTACTATTGGTTGTAGTATTTGGTCAGTTGCAGTTAATATATTTTGTCCGATTCAGATTGTGCCTGTCGTGCTTAGGATGTTCATCTGCTGTTCTTGTACACCCTCATTGAGGCAATGAAGTCTTGCAATTTGTGTGCACCAAAAATAATGAAGGCTCAGGTGACTGAACTATAAGTTTGGCATGTCAGTGTTGTTAAGTTGCTGGTTTGGTGGTTTTCAAATGTGTTTATAATTTGGCTATTATTGATTCTCCTTCTTTGCATGCTTCCTGCAAAAAGATAGACTCTCTTGCTGAGAGGAAACAACTAGGGGTATGTTTGGATTGGCGTTGGGTAAAACTGACTTATAGTCCAACTGACTTTTCTAACTGAAATTAGAATAAAAGTCAGTTATGGTATGTTTAGATAGGTGCTTTTAAAAAGTTAGTTGAAAAAGTAAAAGTTGTTTGGATAAATAAAAGTTAGTTCAGTTGTAAAATGACTGAAAATGGCATATACTATATTGAATAATAGTGTTTGATATTTTTAATATAATAATTTTAAAAAAAAATCTAAAATTATTATGATAAAATAAAAATAATTTATTTGTGAGATTATAAAATAAAAATATGTCACCAAGAAAAATTTAAAAACACATTATAGATAATTAATTAAATATATATAATGGACAAACATGAACATAAATTAAAATTCATTTCGTCTCTAATTAGAGTAAATGAAATTACATAAGTAATTAGATCGTATTTAATAGACGAACATGAACATAAATCAAATGAAAATTCATTTGGTCTCTAATTAAAGTAAATAAAATGACATAACTAATTAGATCGTAAGCTTTGCACAATCTGGTCTCTAATTGAGTCACGAACACGATTCATTTGTGCAGTAGATGTTGAACTTGACGAGGATGCCTCACCAGCTGGATGATTATTGTCTTCATCTATTATACTTCCATGCTCAACTTGTATAAAGCGGTCATCAGTTAGAGAATTTTGCCTGATAAAATTATGGACAGCCATTGTTGCACAAACTATGCGGACTTGTGCTTGAAACTTGAATCTGGGCATGTCTCTTAAGATTGCAAACCTATTCTTCCAAACCCCAAAAGTTCTTTCAATAGTGCATCTCAAACTTGAATGATAATAATTGAAGGCCTCATTCTCATTTCTAAATCCTAGCTGACGATTAAAGTCTAGGAGGTGATAGCGCTCACGTCTGTACGGGCCAAGGTATCCCACTTGTGATGAATAGCCAGTATCAACCAAATAAAATTTGCCTAGAAAATCATCAACCAAATAATGCAATTGAAGCTTAATTTTAAAATAATTGATTTGAAATTTACAGAAATATACCTTCAGATGGATGAGGAAAATTCATGGATGGAGTTGAAATAGCAGATTGAAAGACACGAGCATCATGTGCACTACCTTCCCAGCCTGCCAACACGAACATGAAGCACATATCCCAATCACATACGGCCATGACATTTTGACTTGGAAATCCCTTCCTTCCAATATATTTGTCTTGTCTAGCTTGACTAACTTGACATTTTATATGGGTGCCATCAATTGCACCAATTGCATCCTTAAAAAATGGAAAGTATCGTGGATCATTTGCTATTTTTGGGTGGCAATAGGAGAATGCAGGATCAATAGGCCTGATATTTTCTCGAGATAAATTGAGGCAAGCATCTAACACTATGAAAATGCCGACTGACAGTTTCTCCTGAACGCTGAAATCTTTCTTGAATCATCCTATTACACTGACCATGCGCAATTGTATTCAAGAACATGGCAACAAATTCATGGACACCTATGTACTTAGAATTTTGCAACCCATGTTCAACCAATTTAGAACATAATCGATGGAATATCTCTGTTTCCATTCGAAACATTTCTTTAGACCGTCCTTCATGCTCGTGCAAAAGTTCTTGAACCCATAAATAACCTGTTTGTTTGCTAGTTCTGCATGGTTGTTTGCACAGAAAAAGTGTCACATACTGATCCATTAACCCACTTAATTGTGATAATTGTGTTGTGTGTTCATGTAAGGCGGGAAGTAATTGAAACTGTTCGTCGTCCCAACCCTCCGTTGAATCAGACATGGATTATGTTACCTGTGAGTAGTTAAATACTAAATGTGAGTACTATTTTCACAAAAAAAGAAGAGAAAAGATAAGTGATAAATAGCCATTAAATTGTAACATAATAATTATACATAGTCATGAAACACAACATTAAACGTAGTCATGAAACACACAACATTAAACAAAGTCATGAAACACATATAATCATTAAACACATTGTCATGACACACAATAGCCAAATACATTAAGATAGATAAACAGAAATCACAATAAGTCACTAGGCACAACTCAAGGATTCTTGAGTGCAGCATATAGTGGCGGGTTTGCAGCATTGTGCTTCAACCAAGCTACTAATACCTCCCGATTTTCTGTCAAACCAGCATATATGTCCCTGAATGTCTTGTTTGCCAGCAGATTACAACAGATGACACATAGATGAGTGTCACTAACAATTTCAGGCATACTCAGCAGATCAGTGGTAAGCTCAGTAGTGTTGTCATTGTTGGAGATTTTGTTTATTGCCTCTGCCGTACTAATTAAGCCTTCTCAATCGAACTCACTGAGTCTGCTATTCTTCTTGTCGCTAGCATTTTTTGCTTCTTGTACCTATCCAACCCTTCACCTCTCTTCCTCTTCCCTTGACTCCCTGAAACACAAGGTACAGTGGGTGCAGTGTTCGATGTGTTTGCAGTTAAATTGATGCCATCCAAATAGTCCGAAACTCCTGCACGGCGTCCAGTGTCGTCTTGCCTATCCCCTGAACCTTCTTGCCAATTCATTGTTGGTTGGTAGTCATTTGGTTGATCACCCCTCTGTGGCTCAGGCCCGGTCCAAGATGGTGCCCACATATCATCTCCTGATGCCATAGTATCCTTGAATATAGTTTCCAATTCAGTGTGAAACCTTAACCCATAGTGCCTAAACTTTTCATATGCTGGATTTTCCTGCAAAGTCAAAAGTAAACCAAAGTTAAATATATTCCAAAAGTATAATACTGCTTCTAAATTAACACAAGCTAGTTCATACCCGTAATTTCCTCTCCCACCACTCATCAAATGCCACCACTGTGTTCCTTTCAGGGTCCCACCCTATAACGGTCTTCTTAGCAATTAGTTTATCAAATGTCTTCCACTCTTTTCTCAAGTTATCTAACCTATTTTTCAGCTGCTTTTTTTTCATATCCTCTCCCTGTCCTTTCATTGAAAGTTTTGTGAATGTTGTCCCAACCTTGTTTTGTAAATGAAGATCCTTGACGCAGTTTGCTATAAATCTGGGCAACACATATTTTGAGAAAAACACCTGTGGTGCTCACATCCCAATGTGCTTTGCTTTTATCGTTACTCATAGTTCTTGTTGAAATTACATATATATCAAACCCACAATTAGTCAAGAATCAAATAGTATAATGAAGCAGTATAAATCCACAATATTATGTAAATCAATTTATCACCAAAAGTGCCTTAATTCAAGCAAACTTGGGGTATGCTAACCTTAATACTAGAATTTTCAGCTTAACCAAGACCATAACAAATTCAACTCAACATGGGCAATGAATTGAAATGGAATAAACGTCACTGAAAATTGGCAGAGCTCTAAATTCATGTTTGGATCAAAATTTCAAACCCAGTGCTCAATGTAGCCGGAAAAACCAAAAAAAATTTAAAATTGCTCATGAATGAGGACGGATAACAAAAAACACAGAATCACAAAACACAATAGATTTGCCAAACTCTCAATATAATCAAGTAGTATAATCAATCGTGTGAATGATTTCTTTTTCCAATATTCAGATTGTTCATACATGCTAAATATATCCACATTCCAAATATAACCGTGTGAATCAAAAGCTTCAACCAAGCCGGAATACATCCACATATCCTAGCTAAATATATCCACATATCTATTTTGACCGAAGCATATGATGGTTTGCGCGTAAAGATTGGAGATCAGAAATGGAGAAGTCATGCACTCTACTGGTTCACTTCGACAAGGGCACACCAGCACTTGCCAAACCATCATATGCTTCGGTCAAAATAGAACGTCCGCAGGAGAAGGGGTAAAAAAACACAGGAGATGATTCTTTGCACACACAACAGCAGCTACAACCAGAGGAGAAAGGGGAAAAAAAATAACCCGCCTCCTTCAACCACGGTCAGCACCGACAAGGAGAACGGAGGATCTGAAGTCGAACAGGAAAAAGAAAAGAAAGGCAACCACAGTACCTTGACCGGAGGAGGAAGACAGCCGCGATTCTTTGCACACACACGCCGGTGATGGTAAGGAAGGATGACACAGATTTGTCGCGACAGTGATGGAGGGAAAACAACCGCCGAGATCCACGGATGGAGACGCCGGAGAGAGCGACGGACAGAGACCCATGGATGGAGACGGCGAGAGAGTGCCGAGAGTGACGGATAGAAGGCCGAATGCAGAGCAAGAGGAGCCTCCCTGTTGCTCGATCGAGTGTTCTGAGGGGTCAAGTATTCTGAGGCGTTGGGGTTGGGTGAAAATGATAGGTGAGAGAAATAATACCCATTAATTGCCCTGTAACAGTAAATTGCATTTTGAACGATGGAAAAGCTGGAACAGGGAGCGTCCGAAAATAAGTAGCTTTTGGTTATAAGTCAGTTCCAAAAGCAACACATCCAAACAATCATTTTTCCTCAAATAAGCCACCAACCTCGGTTACAGCCTTTTCCAGGTGCTTTTAGCTTTTGTAATGACAATCTAAACATAGCCTAGGTTTATCATTCGTATTGATGATCACAAAAGCTCAGCAACAAATTGGTCAAAAATATAATGAAAGATGAGGTAATTGACCTGAGTTTTCATGCAGTTTCCCTTTCTACGTGATGTATCTTGCATTATAAACATAGGCTAAAAATTTTTGAATGATTATGACAATTATAAACTATTGCTTTTATTTTTTCTAATGAAGGGTCTCTAGACTCTCTATTTTCACCTCATATTGCTGAAACAATACTCCGTATTTTCTCATGAAATGTCTAATAATGTTCACCGCCATGACCATCCCTGGGTTGGTATGCAATATTGCTGTGTTTATGATAATATACTGCTTCCCTAAATTCACGATTAATTGATTTAATTCCATACATTGTTTCACAATGAAGAACGTTGCTATCTTCTGGCGTACATAGTTTGCATGGTATGATTTTCTGTATAAAAAATTATGCATTGCACTTTTCGGCATCATTGGGTCAACGGTCTTA